CTCATCTAGTTATCTTAGTTAAGTCATATTTCATACGTCAACGGTCATATGGACGATCTCTCAGCTTGCCTCTCTGTCTCTCAGCTCAGCTTTGCGGTGGATGCGACGGTACCTGGAGAGGTCAACGAAATGCCATCCTTCAATGTTCAGGAGGGTTCTAACGCCAATTTCTGGTGATCTTGTGGTTGTTTTATCTATTGGGTTTACCACATTCGATGTATTTTTGTATTTGTGCATATATACATGTGTATATATATATATATGTATAACTTTATATAATCGAATTCTGTGTTTGTTCTGTGCGTGCGTGTTGATCACCTATACACATATTAGACGACATACGTAAGTATTGCTCCATATTGCTCCCCTCCTCTGTGGCTGCAGTTTCAACGTGTAGCTCGTTCACACTTGATATGTTCCAAAAATTGGGGGAAGCCCTTAGCCTATTGGTTTCCCAAGCTATAGGACATATTTTTGCGGATCCGGCGACATACCCATTCCGCGTGAAACGAATCTCGAATTTCCCTGAGCAGTTCAGCCTCTTTCTCAGATTTCTAAGGACGAAGCCATGCATCCATGGGTGAAAAACACAAAAAAGTATGATGGAAAGAAGTATCAGATACCCTCTGGCAATTTAACATAACTATGGGAAATCACCATTTTTCATGGGAAAATTCACTATACAGTAAATGGTGATTTTCCATAGTTATGTTAAATTACCAGAGGTATCCAAAATCATAGAAATCCCCGGCATTCACCTCCTGGGGTCGTCTCAGTTTGGCTCAAATCTCAAGGCTAACATCGGCACGCAGCCATGATCTCCGCTGGGCACGTCTTGGACTTGATCTTGTTCACTCTCCTTTTGGTTTGTTGTTCCCTCATCATCAGCGCCTGCGGTGGAAGTGGGGTGTACCTCATTGCCAAGATTCATGAGAAAATAGAGGTTTCCTAAGTCATTGGGTAGCCCCAAATCATCCATTCGAATGGGAGTTTTCGATCTGAAAACCCATCCATGTTTGGGGTATCCCCCATGACTTAGGAAACCTCCAAATGATGATCCATTCGATTTTTCAGCGCAACAAACACCGCCTTCAGCTTGGCCACCTGCAGGCGTCTGGATTGGGATCTGAGGATGGTCAACCACCATGAAAAACCACCTTTGGTGACCGGTTCCCCTCAGCCATCTTGACTTAAAATAGCTGGTACTTATAGGTATCGAATTATAAGAAGATACGTACATATACCCATAGTTATAGACTAGGTTATATCCCAACTTATGGAGGTGATTATCATGGTTATACAAGGTGAGGCCCACAAACGATAGTTAAGTAAATTGACGCACATAACTTGGTTGACACTTGGGTTTATGGAGGATAATATAACGAGAATCTTACCAAGTTAACCAAGTTGGATGATAAACTGATAAACCAACTTATGAACCCTAGCTGTATAGGATATAACTACCAACTTATAACTGGACAGCCATCTTCGCGCAGTGCCTGTCTGATCTGCTGCTCCTCTCGCATCTGGGGATTCACGGGCAGTACCTATGACGTGGCGTGGAACAATGGAAAGTGCGGTGGAGAATTGGGACGTAACTGACGTAACTATTAAAATGTATCAAAATGTTGGATTCTATCAAACCTGGGATTCAACAGGCAAAAATTGGGATTTAACTCTCAGAACCTGCAAATTTACCATCAAATTTCAGATTTAACTATCAAAACTTGGGATTAAGTATCCAAACTTGGGATGTAACTATCTTAACATGAGATTTTAGAATCAAAACTTCGGAGTTAAAATACTTGGGATTCAACTATGAAAACTTGGGATCAGCAGCACTGCAGTCGGTCCATAAGGTTGCAACCATGCGTGTCTCTAGATCGATCATGGTCCAAACATGTTGGGATGTCATCTGCCCATTTCGTGGGTGTATCACATCTGTGCTCTGGTTGCTGGGAGGTTTGCTCATGGGGTTGGGGCCCCCATGTATGGAAAACACACTCTTCAGGTATGGACAAAGTTTGAGACCACAGTTTACAGTAAATTAATGTTTGGAAAATTGAACTGCCCTGCTTGGAAATACGTTTATTGGGGAATGATATATGGATGGATTTTGCTTGGAAATCCAGCCGGGTCAGTTCTGGCAGCCCATGCCGATGAGCAGACCCATGGCACCTTCGCACCTTTCAGGTCTTCTTCGGAAGCACCTCAAACTGTGGCGAAAAAAAAGAAGAAAAACAAACTGGATGGTTTGGATCAATTTGGGGATGTGCCAAACTTGAGAAACCCTGAAAAAATGATTCAGAAATGACCAGTTCGCCAGACTGAAGCCATGTTGAGCCATAGGGCCTACAGATTGGGTGATCTCCTGAAGTTCCTTTTCAAAGTCGTCCATGGCGTCAAAGGTACCTCCGGGCGACCACCAACAATGGTGGTTTCATGGTGATTTAGTGGGACTTTAATGGCGAGAAATAATGATGGCAGAAAATTTCATGATGGCACTTGTATCTACTGTCTACATTTCACGAACATGGACACTATCCCAAAAACCCCCATATTGGGCCATATGGGCTACTTATGCACCCAATGGATAGTATTTCCCCAGCACCAAGGAGGGCACTGACCATCTCCTTGGTGCTGTCGCGGATGCTTTTCTGAGGTTCCAGCACCACCTGCCAGGGTGCTGGAAGGCCAATTTGGCCATGGATATGAAGCATAAATGGATAGGCTGGCTCAAAAACTTTACCAAAACGCAGTTTCCATGGCCTTCCTTGTTCTTTCACCGGTAGCCAGAATCAGCCTATGTTTTTCTCATTGGATCGATTGTGGTCAATCATGGGCCATGCCGGAGCAAAACGGGAAAATCAGATAGTGGAGTTTAAGATAGTGGCTTGTCAATACTCTCAATTTCCTGGTTTATTCCCACATGGTTGACTAGCCAGTGAGAAAAAGAACTCTTCTTGAATTGTTGATTTCCGTTTTGACCGGCACTTTCCAGCTCTGCACCCCATGGAAGACTCAGCCTTTTTCCGGCACCCTGCTGAGTCTGTTGGAGAGCACCGCCCAAATCAACAAGTGAAACCAAGCCCGGCTCAGACCATCACCTTAGAAAAGCAATACCCGTGCTGTTTTCAAGCACCTTCTTATTTCAAGAGCATTGCTGAGTTCTAAAAATGCAGCTTCGGTTCGGAGTTTGTCCAAGAATGGAGTGCCCCGAAAAAATCCAATGCGTTCTCATGATTTTCGCTATCAAAATGACCATGATTTGGTGGCAATATACCTCATTTCTTGCCAAACCCACCTGCTTTGCAAGACCGCCATGGAACCCCTCCAGCACAAAGCTTTGTTTTTGCAGCACTGAACCATCGTGACAATCGCCGATCAGCGAGGCGTTTTTTTGTCTGTACAGCGATTTCAGCGGATGCAAAGCAGGTTCTGAATGAGATGTGACTGGGCGACTTCCCAACAAGGCAACAAGGGGAGAGGAGACCTGGAGTTCCTGACACCAGCGACGGTTGCCGCGAAAATTAAGACTCCATCTCTACTGCCCTTTGAGGACTTCTTGAAAACCTGGCGATTTTGGCTTGAAAAATGAGGACTCCAATTGCAAGCGTTTGCTTCATCTTGAGGCATGGGTGTAACATTTGGAGGATTCAACGACAATTCCACGTTGCTAAGTCCCCACAGGCGATCAGAAGTCCAGGGCATGTTCTGCCTCTTCAATGATCCTGTCGGTGCGTGTCAAAACCTCTACGACCCACGGACCCCCACATGGACCATTCCTTTGTTGGATTTTGTTGGATATTCCAGGGTTGCCCCATTTTCAGCGGGCAAATGGAAGCACAAAGTTGCTCCTGTTCGGATTTTCCACCATCCAAGCTGGGGGTCAATGACCTTCCCTACCCACATGATGTCTGAAAGTCTAACCCCAGATTGCCAAAGCTGAATCCATGAGTTTTTGCAGCTCGCAGATGCCTTTCCTGCGCAGGTGGATCCCCCTCTCATGATCAATGCATGTGGCCGGCCTTCTCATCATCTCGCAGGTTTGAATGGGAAAGGCACCATTCGCCACCTCCCCACCTCAAAATATCCGGAGAATGATGACTTAAGCCCAAAAGAGATCACAAGCCCAACCTGCCCCCCGCTAAACTCAAACACTGAGGACACATCTGGTTCTCTAGAAACCGAGACACTCAACATCAAAAAGTCGCTGCCATCAAGAACAGCATTGGCGACATCACAAGCTTCTGCTCTAGTGGGAAACATCTTGTCCTGCGGCCAGTGGCTTTCCCCGCATGATATATCAAGCAGCGATGCTTAAATCACGAGAACTAAAACATCCAATGCCCGTAAGGAATCAGACTTCCAATCAGCATCCCCATCTGCCGAGTGTTTTGCTACCTGGGGCCCTTTAGCTCCCAAACTCTACAGGTTTTGACCATCCCGAGCTCCTTCACTACAAGTTCAAAGGAGCGGTGCAGTGATGATGCCTACCCTTTGGGAATCAACCATCGCCAGGTTGGAGTACCAGACTGAGAAAGCATGTCACATCATGTCACTACCTGATAGAACCACATGTGCTTGTCCCAAGATTGGGTATCCTCCCATATTAATCCTGAAAATGATGTCCCAAACGACTGGAATCTGAGCGGGTTTGTAGTTAGGGCTTTACGACCTTGGATGGCTTTGTCTGAGAATGGGATACCCCCAGAATCCCTACCCGTTTTTATCCCTACCCCAAAGCTTCAGATCAATCAGAGCAGGTTAATTTACCCTCTGGTAATTTAACATAGCTATTAAAAATGGCAATTTATAGTGAGTTTTCCCATTAAAAATGGTGATTTTCCATAGCTATGTGGCTGTTTACCAGAGGGTACCACTATTTGAGGATGGATGTTATCCATGTCTATCTGGGGCTGCTCTACCCCTCGGTTGCTCCAACCTAGGAATGGAAGATGGCCCGTGGCAACTCTTGGATTGCCAGAGGGCACAACCTTAACATCATGAACATAATCTTTAATAAACACTCATGAATACTAACCAATTTAGTTGTATTATATATTACATACATACATACATACATACATACATACATACATACATACATACATACATACATACATACATGCATACATCCATGCATACATCCATGCATACATCCATGCATACATACATACATTACATACATACATACATACATACATACATACATACATACATACATACATACATACATACATACATACATACATACATACATACATACATACATACATACATACATACATACATACATACATACATACATACATACATACATACATACATACATAACATACATACATACATACATACATACATACATACATACATACATACATACATACATACATACATACATACATACATACATACATACATACATACATACATACATACATACAGCATACATACATGCATGCATGCATGCATACATACATACATACATACAGACACACATACATACATACATACATACATACATACATACATACATACATACATACATACATACATACATACATACATACATACATACATACATACATACATACATACATACATACATACATACATACATACATACATACATACATACATACATACATACATACATACATACATACATATATACCACTAAGATACCCAGTGTTATCCCTTAACGAACTACGGTTTCATCAACCTCCAAGCGCAACGTACGTGAAGCCGTCACCTCCATGGAGGACAACATCTCTGTGGCGGTGACCGCAAGCTTCCCAGCTTCCTGGTGAGTTTGCTGATCTATTGAAACCATGACCATGTATCTATGTCTGTATATATATATATACACACTTTATGTATATGTATATGTAAGTATATATATACATATATGTTGTGTATATATATAGTCATCTATACAATTATATTTATATAAATATATAATTTATATAACTATATAGTTATATAGTTGTATAATTATGATGTCTTTGTGTATATATGTGTATATGACATCTATCTTTGCACATGGCCTGCATTGAGGTTGGGACAGCCTTGATATGACCCGGCACCTCTATTTTGTTCACAAAGACATGTCTACAAGCGCCACATTGAAAACCTCTGCTAAGACTTCCCACCATGGACCCCGAGGCAGGAGCCTTACATCTCTTGATCATCATCTTCTGAGCCATCCAAATACGCTCAATTGGAATCTCCATCCCCAAATCACCTGGCGTGGCCAGCACCAATCTTTTGGATGTCAGAGATTTACACGATGCATGGACTGATTATCGAGTTTGCATCCAGAGATCTATGGATTGTAGAAGTACCTCTTGAGATTTTTCACTAGCCTGACTCAGACTGATCATCCTCGCTGAGTAGATAGATAGAATCAAAGTTCGTCTCTTGGATCCTCTTGGAGATTCAGCCATGGTGCACTCTTGCGTTCTATCTATTCCCAGATGAGTATATGATGAACTATCTGAATGCCGGAGTCATTGTTTCCCTTCGAGGGAGCTGGTGATGCATCCACCCAACACACAATTCGGCTCCCCGTTGTGGCTGCCTCGGGCAACCATGATGCCATCTGCCTGGTTGTTTGCACGGCGCCACATGTTCCCATGGTGCCTTTTTGAAAATTTTGGGCCGTCAAACTTGGTCCCAACCCAAGAAAGGAAGCATAGCAGCATAAACTTCACTTGGGTTCCGAGGCATTCCTCATTGCTGAAGCTGTTCAACTTGACCAAATACCAAAGGTTCAAGTCGAAACGGGACAGCTGCCCAGAGTTGGATCCCCATGGGTGGCCTCTCGCAAGATTTCATCAAAATGGCGAAGACCCTCAACCTGCATCCAGCAAAATCAAAAAAAGGGCGGCAGGGAGTTATACATTGGTTTCACCATGTTTCACCCCCCCTCTGACTACCGATATATCTACCATAACCCGAAGTTAAGCTACTTGTAAACCAACTTAGCTGCCCAGTAGGGGGTGTTCCTGTGTGGTTTTGAAGCCATTGGACGTCATTGGACCAGCCGCAGGTTGTTTTTTCGCCCTGCCTACTTGGAGACATCCCATTTTGACCCAGGGCAACAGGGATGGCTATGGATCAAAAAAAAAAAAGCCCAACCCGAGGGCAACGGGATCTGATTCCAAGCAGCATTTTCAATCTTGGCGATGATCTTTGTGTGACTGTTACAGTGTTTCCTCCCAAGCATTTTGCATTTGTTCAGAAACACCCGATTCAGAATCCTGGAAATTCCGACCTGACCACATAAGCCTCTGAGCCTCTATTGTTGTCGAGCATTGCGGCCCACAGCCAGTAGCAACATAAAGGGAAGCAACTCCATCGGTCCTGCAGTCAATGATATCCTGGCCAGACTGGACGAAACTCAAGGCGATGTAATCCGCCTGAGGCCAAAGGGCGACCCAAACTGCTGAATGCTATGGAATGCTATGGATAACTATATGGATAAACAGTATATCATATCATATCTTGACGTATCGTATCGACTTGTATTGGATTATAGATTTGAATGTTGCGGGCATCAAAGCCATCGTCACTTCAAATATGCTTCTGCCAGCGAATGAACCCAAAGAATGCCCTGCAAAGTGGTTGCTGGGAATGCTGGGCAGTGGCCTTATGAGGATTCGCCCAATGCACAATGTCCTTGATCTCGCGCTCATCCACCACAGGCAAGTTGATCTTCACCTGTGACCCCGAAAATCATGCATATGGTCATATGGTATTGTCTGAAAATCAGATCATGGGGGGAAAAATATGCCTTGTCATATGTTTATCAGCAGCTTCCCTAAAATTTGACACAAAAAATGGGGTATACCCATCCTGCATTTCAGACTGGAAGCAGACCAGCATACAGGTTCCCAGGCGCCAGGGACATTCACGTTCTTCTTCTCTCCCAGGCGAGCGTCATTCAACACCTCCCAGGGATGTTGCAAGTTGTGTAGTGTTGAAGAAAGAGCTGTGCGAAAATCCATGATAACCTCTGGTAATTCAAGATATTTATGGAGAATGACCATGTTTAATTGTTTTTTCTTTCAATGGGCCATTGTCCATAGCTATGTTACATTACCAGAAGTTTTAAAAAAATGAAAAAAAAACATGCAGAAAGATTGCTATGAAGCAATCGTTTTCCCGGACCAAAGGCCTTGGTTTCCACATCAAAACAGATGGTATGACTGGATATTCATTTCCCCACATTACTATGTGCCATGGTCAAACCATGGTATGTGTGCTATGGTCATCTCATCATCCATCCCATGGTAGGAATTCTTAAAATGTGTGTATGTATATATGTACAGTATATATATATATAGCATATATGGATCCCTATTAAGCTTTACACATCTATGCATAATAGGAATCAACCAAAAATGTACTAGTATAAGTGTACATGGTCATATACATCATTATAAATTATAAACCCCATTATGAGTGGATTGATGACCACGATGACCACGGCACACATGGAAAATCACCACGAAAAAAGGCACGACTCATCGCCCACCCACCTTGGTATCCACAAAGTCAGGTCCTGTTCCTGTAACCTGGTGCAATAGCTGGGTGTCACCATCGAAAATCACCATGGTTCCAATGTTCCGTTGTAAAATATTTAAAAAAACGTTAAAGTATGTTTAAAAAAAAAAAAAAAACGTAAAATATATGTGTTTTTTTGTTTAAATATATATATATATCTTTAAAATAGCGTTAAAATATAGGGAAAAGTAGCGTTAAAATATGTTTTTTAAAAATCGCGTTAAAATATAAAAATAAATAACAAATAAATAAATAAATAGCGTTTGAATATGTTTTTGAAAAAATTGCGTTAAAATAGTTTTAAAAAATAGCGTTACAATATGTGAAAAAAGTTAGAAATGTGAAACGAAAATAGCGATAACATATGTTTTAAAAAATGCGTTAAAATATGTTTTTACTAAGTTGAAATATGAAAAATAAACAATAACGCTATTTAAAAATAAAAATAAAATAAAATAAATAACATTAAAATATTAAAAACAAAGGTTACAATCTTTTTTAAGAAAATAGTGTTAAAACATGTTTTTAAAAAAATAGCGTTAAAATATGGTTAAAACAATAGTGTGAAAATATGCTTTAAAAAAAATGGCGTTAATGAAAACTATATCGTTAAAATATATAAGCAAAACCATCGGAAGCAAACCCCAAAGAACCATCCCAAAAACGTGATAGAGCAATATGCTAACCTATGGATATTTAACAGATTGCGAACTGGAAAATCACCATGTGAAATAGAAAAAACATCATAAATCATCCAACTAGCTGGGATCTAGTTGGAGAGATCTAGTTGGAGATGTTTTGAACGCTGATGTTTCCGTGGGCAGGTTGGGGCTGGAGGCTACGACGGCTACGAGCTACGAGTTGTGTCACATGAAAGTCTTCAGACATCTCTGGAGCAACCAACAATCCGTTCCAGCAACATGCCGCAATGCCCAAGTGGATACCCTCTGGTAAATTAACGTAGCTATTGAAAATGACCATTAATAGTGGATTTTCCCATTAAAGATGGTGATTTTCTATAGCTATGTTAAATTACCAGAGGGTATTTACCAGACCAGCCTCCAGGATGACTGTTCCTTGCATCGAAACAGTGAAGGAAAGTCCAACACATGGGTTGTTTCAAACCAAGGCATCATCGAGAATTGAGCACTTGGAAGTCCCTCATGACTCGTGTGGCAACATGCTGCTGACAAGCATCCGTCTTGAATCAAAATCTGTTGACCTGTTTGGACATCCTGCAAGCTGAAGTAGAAGGATACAGGGCGAAGCAATCCGACCCGCACACCCAGAGGCCCACCAGACCCGATATCGGCCTTTAAATTGGGGCAAGACCAAGCTACAAACAGGAAAACCAATGGACTCAGAGATGGACTGCTTTTACATATGTTTGGATATCTTTGGAATTTGTTGGACCTTTCTAGTATTCAAACTGTCCAAGCTGGGGGTTCAATCAGTTTCAGCCAATGCTGGCTGTATCGCACTCCAGAAGCTGCTCCAAGCACTCCTTTGGGAGGTCTTTGTAGGTGATCGCCACCTGGTTTTCATCGCCTGCATGGGGCGGGAGGGCAGATAGACTCACCCCAATGGGTATCACGGGATGGAAAGCTGTGCAAATTGTCCGAGAAATGGCTAAATGTCAAATAAGAAAACCCCAGTGGGACCGCAGATTCTTCAATATAAACCATCCACTTTGGGGGCCAAATGAAAGATCCTCACATATCCTCACGCCATGTCAGCCAGCTTTTTTCCGTGCAAAAATGGCGTCCCACCTTTCACGCTGTAATCTGTGAGAAGTCTGAAGGGCTGACCTGCCTTCAGCCTTGGCAGTTCCATGGATCAGCACCAAGGCAGCAACCCATGGACATGGTGGGACCCTGTGGGACCACCCAACGATGGCCGCCATAGAAATGGACTGGCTTCCGAAGGCTCGTTTGACTAAAGGATCCTGAAGAGACTGCGTAAAATTGGAAGGCCCTCTCTGCAGTCACATTGCTCTAAGACCCCAGCCTCTTCTTCTCGTTGTAAACCTGTGTCTGCCAGTGTAGGTTTCGAAGCATCAGCCAATTTGACTGACGTGATTCAATGCTGGCAAATCAAAACGCCGAACATCAGCTGTTGCAACAAGACTCTCAACTTGGTGCTCTTCAAAAACTCAAATGATCACATAAGGCACTGATGTTCCATTGGCAACTCATTCACATTCCAAAAACGGTAGAGGTCAAGTCGTTGGGGCGTCAATGGACCCACAATTTGCCCCTGGGGCCTGGGGTGAGAACACTGATTCAGACCCTAATGTCCCATGTGTTTTGAGTTTTGACATCATTTTCAGAGAGTTCTTGGAGATAGTTGCTGGACATACTGCCCCCTCCCGGGGTTGATAATGCTTATAAAACCTATACCAATCCCCATCCAAAATGATCAACCCCCCCCCAAAAAAAAAAACGTCTGTGTGTGATATTACCCTATGGATCCAAATCTTGCTGAGAAGGTATTTGACCCCCAAAATCAGACCCCAAATACTGCCGAAGTATTTAGGTACTGCTGGATCCACAGGGCTTCCTTTTTTCAAATGGCTGTGACTGGCTGTGCGCGATTTTATCAGGGCCCCAACAGGACTGTTTGAAATACCCTCTGGTAAACTAACATAGCTATTGAAAATTGACATTTATAGTGAGTTTTCCCATTAAAAATTGTGATTTTCCATAGTTATGTAAACGTTTACCAGAGGGTAGGGAAAATGATGATGAACCAGCAGATTTAGGGATACCACATTTTCAGACCCCTAAAAATACCGCTGGGTCCAGCATGTCCAACTGGCCGCCTCGAAGTAACCGGTCCTGATCTCAGGCCCGCAGGTGTCCATAAGAACTTTGATGCTGCCTTTGGCCTCAGAAAGTGGAGTGGTTTGAGGATTTTTCACCAGGTAACCGTGGTCTTACGTTTGAACATTGAGTTTATTCCTGGTGTTTTTTTTTTGAATTTCACCAGGAACAACAGGGATTTTTCTGATGGGATTTTCCCACTTAAAACATTGATGTCACCCCATCAGATCCAAGTCTTCGTGGGCCTGTGGTCGGAGCTCGTAGGCTTTGGCCAAGTTTTCCAGCTTCATGGTCTGCTCTTCATGGTCTCCATGGGACATGTTGCAGCCTGGGAATGAGGTCCTTTAAAGTCTGTGAATGTGGTAAAATATGTAAAAAAAATAATGGGGAATTCCTCATTTCTGGCCATTTTACAGGGGATGTGATGAATTGTACGGGGTATACTGGGATATATATATATATATACATATTTACATGATAAGTGTGTGTGTGTGTGTCTGAAACCGGATAATTTGACCCCAATCTATGGTTGTTTTCTATCATGAAGAAAATGATTTGGAGGCACCGTATGTTCAAATCCGAATACGTTTGGGGTCCGGTTGGTACACAATTTTAATATATTTTAATCATGGTTCGCCTCTTGCTGCTCAAAACTTGGCTAGCCTGCCATTCGATGGTTTCAGTCACAATCTTCCCCAATGATTCAGTGGCCAATTGATGGTATACCCCATCTTCAGACAAGGCCATAAGAAATGATCGACTATTGGGAAAGCTGAACCTCTCTGGCACCTGGGAGGCCCTGAACTCTCTGCAGGGACTGCAAGACAACCAGCCGTGCTGAGACAAATAGAAAGATTCAAACAGGGACTAGAAATCGTCAACTATCTCGAAAATCATGAATATGTTTACATATGTATATAAAGGAGGAACTACCCCAACTGCAAAATACAAAAAAGTTGAGTCTACCATCTGGTAATCTAGCTGTTTGCTCCGGAAAGTCACCATGTTTGATAGGTACAGTAAATCATCGAACTAAATGGGCCCTTGTCCAGTTCGCAAACTCTTGCATTACCAGATGGTAAATCTGATAAATGATCAACAAAAATGGTTATGTATACCGCGCTATGGTTATATCAAGTGATATCCCCATTGGCTCACTACATCCCGGAGGCACCAGTTCGCACCACGGAACGAATGACGTTCATCCCTGCATCGATCAGGCCTGCGAGCACCTGTGAAAAACCAGGTGTCACCCGTGTTGTCTCATCATCCACAAGGGGTGTGGCCAAAATTATATTATGGCTTTGTCTGAGAATAGGGTACCCAAAATTCCATGGTTCAGAAAATCATGTTCCTCCTGAAATTGCCATTTGGGGGGTATACCCAATTTTCAGACGCACCCATATGATGACTGTTACATTGACATTGCAAGAGTATGCAAGAGTTAGTTAGTTGTAGTCTTAGTCTATGGAACAGGAAAAAAAGTGGCAAAGTGATGTCAACCTCATGAGTTTTAGTGGGTTTACAGATACATAGAGCTCCAAAAAAAATGGTCTATCCTGGGATGCCATAAGAAGAAACAGGTTCAGCAATTGGCACGTCACTCGGCATGTGTCACAACCGGCATCAACGCGGCATCACGTCTGGCCTCGGCATCCCAGGACGTGGGGCCAATGGTGCAAATGATCTCCTGTACAAGCAGCTGATGCATCTGTGAACGGCTGGGTGTGTTTGAAATTGAGGGCTTACATTGCATTGAGGTGACCAAGTCTATTAGCACAAGTCATAGGTTATAACTCAAGTAGTAGCAAGTGTTAGATGGGTCTGGGATCCATTTACCCACAGGTTTTGGTCATGTTGCCAACTCAACCATCCAATTTTGCTTTGTGTTCCAATTTTGAGTTATCTAGTCGTGACCAAGCCCAGATGTAAATGTACAGCTGCGGCTCTGGCAACAAGCCATCAACAACTCACCAACATGGTAAGATCAAACAATCGTGTCGCCATTGAATACCATTTGGGACTATTTGTTGGGGATGAAGGTCCATGTGCCAGCTAGTTCATTTCGAGAAAGCTCTTGCTTCTAGTCTGCTTGGCGGTCTCAACCCCTCCCAAAAACATTCATACACTCAGTTGGGATCACCCAAAGATTGGAAGGTATATTTTTCAAGCACCTGGTACCCTCTGGTAAACGTTTACATAACTATGGAAAATCACCATTTTTAATTTATAATGTGAAAATCAACTATAAATGGCCATTTTCAATAGCTTTTTGTATGTTTACCAGGCCGGGAAAAAAACGGAGTTAGCATCCTTCATGGCATCTCGTTCATCCCATCGTTTCATCCCATCGCCAGCGGAGCTGTCCGTTTTGCGACTGATGCTGCTCACTTGGGGGGCGCCGATGATCTCATAAGCCTCCAATTTGGGAGGCGGATCGGCCCCTTTTTTCGTCATTTTTGAAGATGGGGTGCAACGGGGCGCCATTTCACCAAACACAGATCTGCTGAAAAATGCTGAAAATGTCGAATTGGGATGCTTAATGATGAACATGATTAAAATCTATTGGGATCATTGAGTGCTAAAAGAAACAAACAGAATGTTTTTTCTGTTTCACTAAGACAGCTGGGGACTTCGCCTGTGAATTGTTCGCTTTTAGCCTGAGATTGGGGACAGCTAATGCAGAAAACGACTCTCTCTGGACCTTGGGGAAGTTGAACCGCTGCTGTTGAAAGACATCAGTCTTAGCTCGGCTTGCGTGAAACATGGCAGTCTTCTATATACAGATATAGAGGATATGTATGAATGGATGGTATCCCAGATACCGTCCTTTTGGACTATATAACCGAGTGAAATATAGTGAAATGTATCCCCTGAGAAACGTTGGTCACCATGACTTGACTTGTTTAAAAACATCTGACTCGAAAGGATTGTCTACAGACTTGATTGTGACCTTGCCGCATGTGTAAATGATTCTTCCACAATTGTTTTGCGGACCTCTCACTTCAGGCTCTTGAAATTCCACTTCGTGTAGGTCGCATCACAAGTCAAACACCAGCCAAAAAGTGGATCTCCCAGGTTTGTTTGGTCCCCAAATGCTCCCGCAATTGGACACCCTACGAAGATGGTATTTCTTCGCTTTCAAACAACACCAAGGTCCTAGGTGTGTGTATGTGTGTGTGTGTTAAAATGATGATAAACCACTGGATGTTGGAATTGTCCGCGAAATTTTCAAACAAACCCATCTATAACTAGAAAATCCCGTGGTATTTATCACCTGTTTCCCTATTCAATAGACCATTTGGGGATATGAAAACCAGAACCGACCACGTCTCCACGGCTTGCCACGACACGGCCAGGCTTCGCACTTGGCACAGGGCCCGGTGAGCACCTGCGATATTCTTGGGATATTCTTGGGATATTCTTGGGAGAAGGGGAACAGAATTGGGAGAATCTTGGAAGATGCTTGGAAAATTATATCATTGGGATATTTGGGATAATCATTGGGATAAATTTGGGCAGATCATTCTTGATAATCATTGGGATAAATTTGGGCAGAATGTGCTATTCGATATTAGTGCTGTTCGATATGTGGAAAATTGGGATGCCCTCCGGGAAACATACCAAGCGCAATGGTTTCCGAAGGAAAATGGTCGACACAATTTTACTGGACGGTGGGCTCAAAAAGAAAGGTTACCATCCTGGTCAACATCGCCAAAGAGAAGAAACGATCTTGAGTTTTCAATGACTCAACAACCCCCATGACCTGGGTGTTTAGACAGGTTTTCAACAGGCCCACAAGCACCTCTTGCCACCGGGCGAAAACTCTGCATGGCAGCAAAACTGGGTTTCTCAGCACCCACTGAGCCGAGATCAGCGTGACATCTGGAAAATTGCCTGACTGGATGCGTTGCAATGTAGAGAAGATACATGTCGAGGATTATCGGGTGGACAGTGGACACCCTTCCAGTTTTTCGTGGAACAAAAATCGTGGATACAGTCCACGAAGCAAGGCAGCAAGTCGGAACGAATGCTGGGCACCAGGCCCTCCATCACCTGAGCGAAAGAGCACAGTCCAGGCCAAGGACGGCATCTGATTTTCATATATCAACCATAGAAACTTTAGAAAAAAAAAACGTTCCATCATGAAGCCATCTGAATTTCATAGCTAAACCATAAACCCACCAATATAATATATAAATATATAATATAGCACAGCACATGAAATGGTGTGTCAAGCCATTGGGGCCACAATCGCTGGGTCATCCGAGCTCACCGGCGATGACCAAGCCATCACAACCAGCTGCTACTTGGAGGATATACATGATATAATATATATATATATATTTGTATATACACAATTACATAATGTATGTGTATATCATATATGTGTATATATATATATGTATTAATTATATATTGCCCCAGAAAAGGGGCTTCTTAGACAGTGCCCAGTTGTGCCGAAATTTCCCTCGCACGACCTTTTCCTGCCAAACAACTGGCTTTGGTCTGCGGCATGGCCCAACGGGTGAAAGATTCCAGCCATCCAAAGAACTCGCAGATTGAAAATGCCAATCAAAATCAAAAGTTGCATGTAAGGTTGTTCTGTCTTAGGAGGCCACCGTGACTTCCTTTCCTGCGCTGGAACCCCTTCAACAGGTTGTCCACATTCGAATTCGGATGCTCACAGACGCTTCAAATGCTTCAGATGCTTCAGATGCTCCAAGGCATCCTGAAAAGTGACACACCAGTTGAGCTTCTGCACAGCTCTCGCGACTTACTGGCCCTCGTTGAACGAAACAATGATGTCATTGCCACACAGCCACCAATGCAAACCAAGGATCGAAGCTTAAAATCTAGGGCCAAAACTCCAAAACACTAAGCACCCCGGCGGACAGTGAGGCCCCCTGATCCCTGCGGCAACCGTCAGGGCAGGAAGCGTCACGTGATGAATCGCCAAGTGACATCAATCACATCCAATCTTCACGGTGCACCAACCCTCCGGGTCAACCCTCTCCACCGGGTGCCAGTGCCCCTGAGATCCCTGAGTGCCCGGGCGCCCGGAACACGACAGCCATCCTTCCAGTGATGCCGCATGGTGTCATCTTTGACAAGGCATGTTCTCTTCAAATGAAGGACTAGTAGACTCAGTTCCGAGTTCACCAAAGATTTGAATGAATCTCCTCGGCTATGCGGGTAACAGGACAGCATCATCTGCAGTGTCAATGCAAACACGAACATTTTAATGGCTTGTCAGCCAAGAATTTGGAGGATTCATCAATGCCATCATGGTCAACCTGAATTTGTGACCCTGAAAGGATTGAGATGTTCAGATCCAAGAGAGGGGAGTGCTAAAACAGCCCCGTGCAGGCTCTCAACGCTTCAGTTGGGTGGGAAACTTCGAACGTCCCAGTGCAGTCTGAAGAAGTTGCGCTTCACTCTGAATTCACTCTGACCTATGGTTCTCTCAAATGCGCCACACCACGGTGGTAGGGAGGACCGAAAAACAGACTTCTGCCGGATGCCCGCAAACTTGGAAACATTCCTCCCACTCAACAAGTCCGCAAAACACGCTGAGAGCAATGCTCATGCTGATGGAAGCTTTGTTCGAGGCAACTGATTGATCCGCTTCTTATTCCAGCCATCATCAGTAGGAATTCTTCTGAGGCGTTAAAGCAATCGTGGCTGTGGGTCAAACTCTAGTACCCCTCAAGTTCCCAAAAGTTGCTCTTTTTTCAAGTGGGTAGTCATCATCTTGACCATCCTTTTTCTAATCTTTTTTCAGGGGTAGAGGTTTTGACCCATGCCCAGACCCTGAAAGCCCTGAAAGCATCACACCCATTGAGTGACTCGGATCTTTGGGTCCGGAAAGCCCAAGCTGATACCAACCTCCGCGGGCCTTCGCTGGCCGCAGTGCGGCCTGGCCCTTCCGAGTCCGCAAAGGCTGTCAATGATGTCTTGACTCTCAGGTTTGTGCTAATTTGAAAGGCACAGCTTAACACAACCTAAGATCGGTAGAGCAAAGTCGGCCATGTGTTTTGGTGATTTAAGTATATGATACGATATTCAACAATTTGGGACAGACACCATTTTGAGCCATGCCGTAGTACCTGTATTCAAGGTGCATCTCAAAGCAACCTTACAAGGTGCAAGACAACCACAGCACTGCTCAACCACCACGCGCCTTGAGGACGTCCGTGCTGTGTTCCATAGAGGCACTTGGCCCGGCATTTGAGCTCAAACAGCCACGGTGGTGACTACTGTTCCACCTTGGCAGGGTGGGCGTGCCACCACTGTGACAATTTTGGAACTCCGAAATAACCAAGCTGTAGTGCTCTTTGACAGGACCAAGTTGTACCTCAAATGCAGAAGTGCTGGCACTTTCAAGAGAAAACAAAACAAATACCAAGTTACAATTTCTCGAAAGGTTGGACGTGATGACCTCCTTGTTGCTTCATGAAATCATATACTTCTACAAAGACATGATTAGCATTATCGCTCACAGACAAGCAAACAATAGGCGCACTGTCCAAAACTCTGGGTCCAAACCCTAGCTTGGGTACTCATAGACCAAGTGACTTGCTCGGTAAGTCTTACACAAAAAGGACAAGGAAAGCTTTACGGCGCTTCAACGTGGTGCAGCCTTGTTTCTAGAATGAAGTTCAGACAGGACCAAGTGACCCCTTAAGCCACGCCCTGAGTTGCCAAGAGGTTCAAGAAAAAATCCGTAAGTTCAGATCCACCAGGTCCAAAGGAACCAAGAAGATTATACAGTACAATCCAAACAGTTTTGGTGGTAAATCTAGCAGCCACAATATAGAGTCTATAGAGCTTTCTTGGAAACCCCAAACAGGTTCACTTTCATGGGCCCATGAAGTTTGGCCAGATGTCAATGGATCCAGTAGTGTTTCGACTTTTGGTGTTCTCACGAAATGGAAGAGGCCGATCCCATCAGAGAAACTACAGTATATAAAAGTGGGTGGCGTCTCCACTGCTACCAACCTTTACATCTGGCTCAGCGATACCCTCAGATCCAAACAGTTAACAAAATCTCCTCTGTCTACGCTTAAAAGAGAAAAGATGAGAAAAGTGTAAGCTGTAATGCAGTGTAGCAGCCAAAAGGAGTGTGGTGACATTCAATTCCGAATCGTGACGGGTTAGCCACCCACATGGGCTGGCCCCCCAATATCCCCGTGCAGTTGCACCGATAGGACCAAGGGTACCAAACAAGGGAGGACCCCCGTTTCGAACCTCCCAAAAATAGTGCGGCTCCAATTGGATGAAGTCTTCCATCTATAGTCATCGTCCCCATCACCAGCCAAAGAGTTGGCAATTCCCACATACTCTTAAGGGGGCTACAAGGGGGTTAAGGTCGTGCCAACTCCCGTGGTGATCTGTGAAGTGATCCCTGGCTTGGCCAAAAAATCCATATCGCTGTGGCCATCTCCGGATTTTTCATCGGTCCCCATCCTTTAGCCATCCGCGCCACCACACACAGCAATTTGGCTGGCTGTGAGACTCTCAGTCTGGTCCTGCCAGGGAGCCACAGCTGAACAACAACCAAGTTCCCTGGGGGAGTGGGCCGGACCGACTTTTAATGAACGTTCACCAAACTTTCACCTGTGTAGATTGTAGCGGGTAACAAATCAGCTCGGGCTATGTAGGTTTATGGCTGGGGTTCCAAGGTTTGGACATTCCGAATTCGCAGCAATGGAATTGAGTTCCACTTGACTCAGCTGGGTCCATTGTTGAAGGCGTAGGTGCCCTTAATGCTTTCAAGTGATGGACTCCCAAAATATCCCATGGACCCAGATGAACAAGTTGGGTGACCTTCTCCATGTGTTTGCCCCTCGTGTTCATCATGTTCACGGCGCATCCACTTCTCTTTTTGTGCTCTGTTTGTGCACTCATGGACGACTGAACACACTCGACCTGGGACGGTTTCACCGAAGATCTTGAAACAAGCTGGTGAACACCCAGAAAATGAGATCGTCAGCTCTTCCCACTCGCAAATCCGTTTCTGGCAGATCCCACAACCTGTTCCCAAGACCTTAGAATCCCATGACAGTCGCAGCCTCAAGGGGGCCGCGGCCGCTTGGGTGAAGGCTCCGGACCTTCCCGACCTGAGAATCGGTTCCAACAGGAAAAAGATGCAACAAACATGCACAAACTATGCCAAGCCCATTTTCGGGAGTTCCATCTTAGATTTCAGGGCTCCATCCCGTAACTGTAACCATGACACTTGCCTTTACCAATGTCAGTCCATCCGAAACCGACATTTGCATCATTGCATCACAGGATGGGTCGCAACGGTGCCCGTTGGCGATCATCTTAATGCATTGATCCATGCTGCCTTCATCAGGAGCAGTTCTCTTTGGCCTGACAGCACTCATGAACTCGGCGAAACTTCTTGTGAACACGGCTGTGACAAAAAAACGACAAGTAATACTTGAAACCCCTCAGAAATAAACCAGCGCTGGGAATTCCCCAATGTTTATACCATTTACTGAAGGATTGTTTATCTAAAATGTTTTCCAATGCTATGTGTTGTTACCCAAGGGTACCAACCATTCCGGGCCGATTGGCACAAGAGTGGTTGCCACCACCGGGGGTATGGATTCTATTCCCAATGAAACCCCAGTAGTTTCCCAACCTTTCGGCTTGCTGCGCATGCGACGCCCGGGGCTTTCCATCCCGAGCAACTTTGTCTTCATCCTTTCGTGCAGTGATGCTTCACTCAGTTGAAACGGAAAAAAGCGAAACCAGCCTGCTTTGTTGCTGCCATGATATTGCAGTGATATGCAGGGCATCTTCAATTCAAGGGGATGTTCTTTACATTGAAAAGAATCCTGACCGATGGCTTGCATGGTGTCCATGGAGTTCCTGCCATATAACTCCTAACAAGGTGGTGAAATGAAGTTAACTGTGCTTATGCTTCAAAACGGCTTCCCAAATGGCTTCCCAGCCTATCGCAGCCCTCACCAAAAGAATGACCAATGACTCCTTGACCCGAGAAACCGCTCCTCTTTGGCCTCCTCTCGTTGAACTTGTCTCTTTCTGACGCCCAACTCCTTCATACCTGATCCCTCTGGAGGCATCTTCATCTCGCTGGGCAAACAAGGAAGCGGGTCCTGAGCAAAAACCCTTGAAACATGAGGCATCTTAGAAAGAACAGCACCCTGGTCTTAGGTTTCAGATGGTTTCAGGACCGGTCTGAAGCCCAAGACTCCCTACAGGCTAGGACGAATCTGGAAGTGGAAATTCAATCGTTCCAATTGTATATTATAGGATTGCCATTATTATACTATCCCATTATAATATTCCATTTGGATTATCAATAGGGTTTCACTTGGATTATCCCATTATTTATAGGGTTTCAAAAAAATGGGAGCTTCCAATTGTACCTGGAGGAAAAGAATGCCCCCCAGCTCAGATGCTGCGGCTCTGATGGTGCGAAAAAGGCGCCGCTTCGAACCAGTGGCTGGTCAACAATCCAGCCTCAGCCCGGCCAAAACCTGACAACTCACCTGAACCATGAGAGAAAATGGTGCTGAAGCTTCAAGATCTTCAAGTCCCACAAAAGACCTTACATACTCAAACAACGTTGAAAATGAGACCACAGGTACTGATGGACCCCAAAATTCTTGGATCATCGACACGGGTAACATTTGCCCCATGGGATCGGCCCGCATTGTCTCCTGAGGACCGACTGTCCTGCAAAACATCGTTCTCTATAGTTTGTATACCCATGAATCAATACGTGCATCCTCCTGAGCATGTCAAACATATATATATATATATTACATATATATATATTATATATATATACACATATCATGCAAGTTTGGATGATTACTTGCCATGCCGTGCATGTCGAAACTCATGGCTAAGTCTGTGTATCCTTCTCTCCAACCTGGGTGTCAAATGAGGAATGCTGTCTCAAGTTTTTTGTGCCCCAATGGCCATTCAATATCATTGAATGTGTGGTGATGGATCAAAACCATCCCAGATTTGGAGATCCAAAGCTATACCAGCCCCGAAAATCCTCCAAGAGGCTGTGTCGGGTCGCTTCGCAGGATCTAAGCTCAAGCAATCCTGGCGAAATCATCCTTTGGTTCACCAGAAATGTCCCTATTGTCCCTATTAAATAGCTTTTTTTTGGAGGGGCGGTACCGTTTTATCCCCCATTTTTTCAGACACAGCTGTTAGCTGTTGACCAAACCTTGGGTCCAACTTTCTGGCCTTCAGCAATTCCACCGCTTCTCGACCGTGCTTGACGGTGAGGTCGGCAAAGAGATCTTTCTCCCCTGGTCCCTGTGGCATGGTGGGATCAAGCCACTGAAATTGGGAGGGCTAAGAGATGAAGAAAGACTGAACAGGTGTGAATTGGCATCAGGTGAGGGCCAAGTTTTGTTGTGTGAATTGTGGGTAAATTTCAATAAATTGGACTCAGTCATGAGTATGAGGATTCCTTCATCTCCAGAAGAATCACAGGGGATGTAGGGCCATAAAAATGCGTAGATCATAGATCCACTTCCAGCTCGCAATCCAGCAGGTATGAAATTTCCAAGCCAGCAAATAGTGAGCCAGGCTGAAAACTTCCTTGTGGTTAGTTTATCATAAGCGCTTGTTAGTTCAACAAGCTATTTGGCGGTGCGGTTCACGAAGGTTTTGGAAAAAAGGAATCTATTCAGTTCAGGTTGAGGGCTGGCTGCTAATCATCGCCAAATTTAGAGACTTGGGCCATTGGGGGTGGAACAAAAAAACGATTTGGTATACCAGTTTATGTGGTCAAACCAATACCATAAACCTACCATTTGGGCGGTGGTTTGTTTGTACCATCTGTTTGTGGTTATTCTGAGTTATTCTGGGGATCCTTCATTTATCACATTACCACTTTTCTGTCTACCACATCTACCTTTTGATTGTTGAACAAAAGCTACTGGGTTACCCGTCTGATCAACCCATGGGACAAGCCTCGTCCAGCCGAATTCAGCCATCTTTCGCGGTGAGTTCATGTGGGTATTCGAAAGCGGGGTGAGTCTACTTGGCATGATTTGGGTGTACCCCTACTTTCGGGGGAATTTTCATTTGCGAACTGATTTCCGAGCTCTTTTCGTGCCCCCCCAAGTAACACCCAAGTCGGTTTGATCGAGGCTCCGGTGGCCGATTGATTTGCTGCCAATATTTCTCCCAGTAGGGCAGTTTGCGAATGTTCTCTGGCCAATCTTCCTGGGCAAGAGGTGAAACTTACTGATCGCCAAAATAAATGTTATGGTCGCCTAGAAAATCTGAAACACTTAATACCAGTATGTCATCCCCAAAAGGCCAGGCCAACCAAAGGAAAATGGTATCATCATATATCATCCTACAGAAGCTGCACGATCTAACATCCTGCATCTTATGAAAATTCACCCAACCCAAGATTTCGGTGCCCCCAATAAGATTTCGGTGTTTTTGCAGGGCAAGTCTGAACCACCAACAACTAGGGTGAAAGTTTTTTTTGGAGTAATGGTTGAATCCCAAACTGCATCACACGCGTCCTGGTTGAAGACACAACAGCGGTTCCGGATCTTTCGCAAGACCTGCCGAGCCGGCAGTTTGGTGGCATCAACTCTGCCAAAAATGATGAAAAAGACTCACAGCTGGTTGCCCTTTTCAGTTCAAAATGATAAAGCAAAAAAAAAAGGCAGACTGGGAGAATACGTTTTTCCCTAAGACGGACCATTCCTGATGTGGATCTCTGACCAGAAAAATCGCCACCTGGATTTCTGAGGCATCTGGAAAGAGGGGAGTCGAGTTCATCATCTCGCCGATGATGCAGCCAGCACTCCTCAGATTTGTTCCGTTTGTTTCGGGCAAAGGTTCACACCCTCACAATGGGTTGTCTTCAGTTCACATCCAATCTGATCATTTTCGACTTGACATCTGCTCTAATCCCAAGCTTCCAGATGTCCACAGAAAAGTTATACTTGGCCGTTCCAAGAAGGAGCTCAGGCGGTCTGTACCTCGGAGAGAATGGATGTCGACCTGGTCCAGGTCAGGAACTGCAACGAGAACACTCAGACCGCCAGGGAATGAGCCGATGTCATTTTTTATTGTCCACTGACTGAGTATTTATTTCTATATATTACATATATATATATTATTGTATATATATATAGTTACATATATTATTCTGTATATATTATCTTCTAATATACTATATTAGATTATATCATGTAATATGATATTATACTATATTATACTATATTATATTATACTATATTATATTATATCATATTATAGTATAGTATAGTATAGTATATAATATTGTACTATAGTATATGTTATCATATTATACTACATCATATTATATTAGATTGTTGTATATTATATTTCTGTATGTTATATTAGATTTTGTTAAATTGAATTATATTACATTATGTTATAGTATATTAGGTTATATGATATTGCATAATGTGTGTATCAGTTTTTGTATCATATCCTATCATTTCAGATCATATCATGTCATGTCATTTTATGTTATGTTATATTGTATTGTATTTTATGATATAATACTATATTATATTACGTCATGTTTTATTATATTGTCCTATGTTGTATTCTATCATATGATATCATGTCATGTGGTGTTATATCATGTTAACATATTATGTTATTGTACGTATTGCGTTGTTAATTTATGTTTCGTTGTGTTATACATATATTATGTATTATGTTATATTATATCATATCATATTATGTTATATTATATCCTATTATATCATATTATGTTATATTATATTATATCATATTATGTTATATCATATTATATCATATCATATTATGTTGTATTATATCCTATTATATCATATTATGTTATATTATATTATATCATATTATGTTATATCATATTATATCATATCATATTATGTTGTATTATGTTATATTATATGTACATAAACTTAGATGATCTTCGTGTCCAAAACATTGCCCATGTTCGGACAAGTTCCAACAGCCCAATCCCATCGTCCAAGGCACCAGAGGGTGATCACCCGCGTGGAATATTGGCCCATGCTTTTGTCCGGAAAGCTCCGAGAGAGGCCAAAATCACAAAGCTTCAGGTCGCCTTTCCCCGTCAACAAGATGTTGGAAGGCTTCCTGAGCATGGAGATTAGCCATAGATTAGCCATAGATTATACCATAGATTAGCCATAGATTAGCCAGAGATTATCCCCCATGATTCACCCTAACATTTCACCATGGATACTTGGTGTATGTCGATAGAGTAACTACCCTCTGGTTATTTAACATAGCCATGGTATAGATGGCCCATTTATAGATGGTTTACCTATTAAAAATGGTGATTTTCCATGACTATGTTAAATAACCAGATGGTAAGTAGTGCCTTGCCAGATGTTTTTCACTGGAGCGTAACACAGACCATCTTGAATTAGTGTGAAATAGACCAAGAACGTCCTGGGTCTATGTTGCCACTGGTAAATGTCCTAATTGAACATCATCCAAATATTGGTGATATAATCTCCAACAGATACTTGAAAGTGATGTTCAAGAGCCCCAAAATGGGACTTTTACCAAACCCTGCTATGCTTGACAGTGACAACCCTTCAAGCGGGTCGTGTAAAAACCGGCCATGTCACAGGTCCCGGTGCATGAAGTTGTGGAGATGGCAGTAGTCAAGGCCATCCAGCAGTTGCCGGGCCAGGCACCTGAGATCTGCCCATGCCATGCCATGATCACAACTATGAACCGAATTAGAACCGTATATGGCCTATGCTCATCCCAAATCCCATGGAATCCTTGAAAAAAAATTAGGGCCATTGATCATCCTCAGTGGATCGAAAAACACTGCGCCAGCTGAAGTTGCTGCAGCAAGAAGCGGGATGAAATCATAGACAATCAGCCCAGTTGCACCATAACCGTAGCTAATTGAGCTACAACCCGAGACGCCAACAATTCGCTGAGACGGACACAAGTACCGAAGTAAGTGGTGTTGCTCCGCGTCGCCAAAGGATCGATTTCATGTTGGCTAGAACCAAAAGTGTACATTATATATAATTATAGATACTTTGGTTACCCTCTGGTAATTTAACATAGCTATTGAAAATTGCCATTTATAGTGAGTTTTCCCATTAAAAATGGTGATTTTCCATAGTTATGTTAGTTTACCAGAGGGTATATAATGTTGGCTATAATGATGGCTGGAGGGATCAAACAGGTACACCACAACCACAAAACCAGCCATCCCTCGATGGCTCGTCGTCTGCTTCCAAGCTGCTTGACCTCTGGCCTTGGTGTCATGGTCCGCACCAGGCGCATGTAGATGAACAGAAAAAGCAAAGTGGAGTGCTGAAAGAAATTGAATAATATATACATATATGCATATAATATATGTATATAATATAGATATAGATTATATATATATAATATAGATTTTATATATATAATATAGATTGTATATATAATATAGATTATATATATATATACACACGCCCTTTCAAATTGGACAATTCTTCTTCTGAGCAAACTGTTTCTGTCCTAAATGCACCATGTGGGTGCAAATCACCGTTTCGTGATATTCCTGGCGAACATCCCAAATATGGACAGACTATAAATAATACGATATTCTTCTGTACAGATAGAGAGAGAGAGAGGGGAAAAAAAACTAGACATATACTACATATATATAATATAATATAGTATATAATAGATAATATTTTGTATATATATGTATATATATACATCCATGTATATGGATGCCAGGTTGTACCTTCCTACCCAACTATCCACCTACCTCTCGATCCATCCATCCGTCTCTGTACAAACATCCACATGTGTGTCATCGTAGCTTTTGAATGCTCTTGATGGTCCATCTGTTGGTGAATGCATGAACCCAGTTTGCTATGTTGTTTGCGAGAATGGACACATAAACAAATGGACAGCTGTGTAGGCGAAAAGGTAGAGAAGTGACAAGATTGTAAGATGAGATTGATAAGACTCGCATGGGTATAGGTCAAAAAATTGGTAGCCTACATGTTGATATATACTTCGAATGACCAAGCCATCTGTGTTTCCCTGGGAAAAACTTCGCACCCATAGGGCGATGTTCCGACTTGCCAGCTGAGAGTCAGCTTCAGCTTCTTGCGATAGGTCATGAAGCCTCCCATGGTTAGCTCAGATCCCCAGCTTCCACTGAGCAATCCTTTTGGGCTGGGTTTTTCCATTGTTTTTCCAACCAAAAAAAAAAGTGGGTTCCTGCAAGTTTTCCCGACATCCAATTCTGAGATTGCAGGATCAGGGTATCTCTGTATTTTCCTTGGTCAGAGACGCCTTTGTGTATGGATGCGCTGAGCTACCAGTCCAATCATCCCACCAATGAGCTACCAGTCTATATCGAAATCCTGGTCAGAAAGTCAGGTGCAAGTATAATGTCCCTAAAGCAATAAGTCACCCATATTTTGTGGTTTATACCACCCACAAAAATGGTAAATTTGGGGATATTAGGGGATGGTTTATCCTCTTGCTTTACCCTGCCATCACTTGTGGTAGTCCCGGTTTTAAAGGGGCTACAACCCTGCCATGATCCTTTTCGGAGCCTGGCCTGTGAGATCATGCTGTACATACCTGCCATCGACGGGCTACCATCGATGGGCTGAAACAAAAAGCTGGATTCCAGAAGACTTCCCCCCCCATTCAAGGATACCCCAAATAAGCGGCAGCACTCCTGCATAAATCCCTGCCGGGGTGCTCGAAAATCAAATAAGCATCGCCAACACCATTGGTGCCAGGCATCTCTGTATAGACATCATGCAGCTTTACCACCTGCAAACCAGAGGAAAATCACCCGTTTTCTCCCCTTGGTTCAAACCTTCCCCTTGAAACCTGCACTTCGTTTGGGGATTTCCCAGCTAGCCACCTTTCTTTGCCGAAGAGTACCTGTAGGTTGGAGCAACACTGAAGGTTGAACCATCAATTCATGTCTACGATGAGATCCATGGCATTTGCCTTGTGGTTTCCTGGGTCGCATCACCCTGGCTAAACCAAGGGTTTTGATATCAAAATAGCTGAAAAAAAGTAATGTTCATCTCCAACAAAGCATGATAACAAAGCATGATCTCATAGGTTTTGACAGTTTTGACCCATCCTCATGTCACAAATCATACATATCCCATAAGCATCTCCATCAAAAGCCGCTGGTGCAGCCCAAGCCACATTCGGATGATTCTGCAATGCTCGGAGAGCACGGATTTCACGGATCGCCGTCGATGGGAATCCCTCTTTTTGATGCCGGAGGATCACCTGAATATGCCGATCGTACGCGTAGCGCTATCGGCCCCGCGTAGCGCCAACATGCCAAAAAAAAACTGGGGAAGTTAATATGGTCAAAGTGGTGTTGCCCAAGAAATGGGTGACCAACAATGGTGAAGCCATCTGTGGTGCCGAAGTCTGAATCGAGTTTTGGCCCATGGACCCATGACATGGTTTTCAGTCATAGACCATCCAGTTTTGGTGGTAGAATGTGGTGAATGACTTTGAGCCATTGGCACCTCTAGTGGTTGCAGCACCTTTGCTGGTTCTAGCAACTGGCCCTGGAAAATCCACGTTGTCTTCTTGTGAAAACCATCTATATTTTTTCATAAAATGATATAAATGCTGGATTTTCGATTGCCTTGTTGGCTGACCAATTGGCCAATTGGGTAAGTAGGGATGTTTATATGGTCAACAGCACTGGTGGCTGAGCTGACCTTCCAAGAAATATAAGACGGAAAATGACGGCTTGATGAGATTTGAAACAACATAAACACCCAACTAGCAACTGGTTCATACTCCTGGATCGTTTCTCCATTCACCGGGAGACCGGGAGAACTGGGCATGTACCATCTCTTTCTGGGTAAGTGGGCTCATGACCCTTCATTTGCCAGAGATGCTGGCTATCCCTGGCTCCAAAACATCTCCAGTATCCATGGCCCATCTATGGTGGTTTCACCAGCGCCTTCTTCATGGCAACTTCTGCATTGTCCAGGCATCTGATGCCCTGCCGTGGCTGTGGATCGGCCCCCTAAAGGCTTCAAGGAACCACCAGAAACTGATGGATTTGCCACACTGGGTATGGTGGTGTTGGAATCCAGGACGTGAAGTCCAAAAGTCGGAGCTTCAAGGAATCAGCTCCCACCTTCCAAACGGTGCCATAGGTGCCCTCACCAACTGCTTCACCTTGCTTCTGATACTCTCCGGTCCTGGCAGGCTTTGACAGAAACCAAAGCACAAAAAAACAAGCTACAAAGGTCCAAGCACACCAAAAATCTGTCCTTCTCAGGCCAAAAAAAATCAAATGAGGCATTTTCCTACAAGAAAGTGCAGCCGCCGTGGTTAACCCAAAAGCTGAGCGCTGGACGACATACGTCGCAGCGGGCAGAAGCTCAATCTCCTGGATCCAAGTGGTGGGAGACTGCTGGAACTTGAACTCAGGTGATCCCTGGCTTCCTATGTTTGGAAGATGGCTCAAGTCTTGTGTTTCTTGGGTGAAGTACTTGCTCTTCACCTTCCAAATATTTCTGGAGATAGATGTTCAAGTTTCCAGCACTTCTCTCAGTGCAGGAACTTGTCTCTGGATTGGTGCAAGAATCGATCCAGAACAAAAAAAGATAAAAGGAAAATGGTGAAAAAGTCATTCAAATCAGTTGAGGTGGGACCACAGGTGGGACCTCCATGATTTTTCCCCGTCTTTCCAGGTGGAAGTGCCTTAAGAGGAACCCCGTATACGGAAGCCACATGGAACCTCGCTCCTATGCCACAAGGCACTGGTGCCATGAAGCCGTAGGTCCCAAGCCGCCGCGGCGTTGGGAGGTCGGCTTAAAGCTGGTGATGTTTTTTGAGATACAAAACAATTAGATCAGAAGACGTGTTGATTTATAGTTGATTTATATGTTTTATGATTTCAAATCATGTCAAGTAGTTTCGGGCATCTTCTGCAAAATCCGGAAACTGCAAGGCTACCTGAAGATTCCAAAGGGTGCCTTGCTGTGGCTGGTCTCAGGGTGTGCACCCGTGTGGGGTTTTGCGCGCAGCCACAACTGCTGTGCAGTGCTGAGTGGTGCTGAGTGGCTTGCAGTCAGCTTGGGCTTTGGCGACTGACACAGCCGCACAGCAGTTGTGGTACAGCTACAGATGATATCTACTTGAACTCACCTCTCTGACTTCCAACAGAAGTCTTGAGCAACATGGACGGCGTATCTCGTTGCATCCTTGAATTGAACAAATGATCCCAAAAGGAGAGATGCTTCTTGGAGGGCTCCTTTCAACGATGCTTTGAACCTTGGAACTGGCTAAAATTGGGAAAATTGGGGGCACCCTATTCGCAGACAAACCCAAATAATTCCCGCCACAATCGATCATTGACCCTGTGCCGAGCCATGCAATGCAGCCACACAGCAAGATTCCAAGGTCCCCACCATCGCCATTGGACACATGGCTCAACAGGCACAGCCATTGGACAGTTCTAGCTGCTACTAGCTATGGGCCTAAAAGATGTCCCTAACCCAACCATTGCTTCCTGCACTTCCCCATGGCTCTGCTTTGCTTTTTGAGGATCATTTGGATGTCCTGCAGAGTTTCCCCTGAATGGGCTCCTTGAGTGTGCTGGCCGCTTCCAATCTCTAGTGACCAGCCACTTGGAAATTTCAAATTGCACACAGACTGGAAGGGGCCGAAGGGGGAAGCCACAGAATGTATCAATGATTCTTCAATTCCAACCTTGCCACAAGGTGGTCCTGATCTGGAGATAAAACTTTGAGCAAAATGAATCAATGAGCAGCAGCAGCAACCCTTTCTGCAACTTGAAGAATCATCTTTGGTGCTCGAAACTGTCAACGTGTCCTTTCAAACTCGACCACTGTCAAAAAAAATGTGGATAGTAAGGTGGTCGACCTCCAACCACCTGAAAACAATCAGGGGTTGAGATTCCTGCTTTGAATCCATGCCTTTAACAGGTCCTTGTGTCCTAAACATACAATGATGGAAGAAACGGAGCAGTTGAGCAGTAAAAACCACTCCATTATCCCATCTTAATGGTTAGTTTGGTATTTCTGGAAATCATAGGTAGAAGAATGCTCCACTTCAGCTAGGTTGCATGGTCCCTATGGGTCCCCATGGGTCCCTAACATCAAAAAATGTCTCTTCCCGCCTGGTCAGCCCTGTTCATCGAATGAATCTGTGGAAACCACCTCGGCGGATGTGCAAACATCATGCAGGTCCTGCAGCTTTCTATCTTTCTCTTAGATCTGTTGAGGCTGCCGAGGGCACCTCAACGGGCACCAAGATAGGCCCTGGCTTCTGGATGTCCTTGGAGGTATTCTTGTACAGGGCTTCTCTCTCCTAGGATGCTGAGACCCATCCTGGTCTCGCATCCAACACAGCTGATGCTGAGTGATGCTGAGGGGGCTTTTTTGCTCCAGCGAAAATCTCGCGTCTCGGTGAACACAAATTTCTTTGGTGCTCAGTCCAAGTGCGAGGAAAACTTCACAAGTCGTTGACAAGTCGCACCGGGCATAGCCCGTGTTTTTCCGGCGACCTTTCCGCAGTGCGGCTGGCCTGGGTTGCAACTTACAACATATATCAAAATATATACAGTATATATCTATACATTATATATATATATTATATATATATATTATATATGGGTCTACGCAAAAGTCCTGGACCCCTGGTTAACACCAAAAAGGGCTAGCATTTATGGATGGTCTCTGCAAAGATGGGTCTCATAGACATTCAAAATATTTCACCATCTCCACATGATGAGAATCAGCATCAAAACAAACTTTACCCTCTGGTAAACTAACATGGCTATTGAAAATTGCCATAGAAATAGTGGATTTATCGGATTTACCCATTAAAGATAGTGATTTTCCATAGCTATGTGGCTGTTTACCAGAGGGTAGAGCCCTGCAGCCATACTCGTTTCACATCGTTTCACCCTTGCATTTGAAAACCGCAAAGGAGTCCGATGTCTACCTGCATGGATCAGCCACGCCATTCATTGAGTCTCAGAAGATATAGCACGCCTGAACAGAGTGAAATATTATGAAGCAAACACAAAGAAGACCCATTCACCAACAGATGCTTGTCTTTTGTTTTTCAGCCATCCTTTTTCAATGCTGGAGAGGTATGGCCAGATATGGCCAACTTGCGAAACATGAAATCCTGCTTCAATCACTATCACCCTTGCAATGTTCAGCAAATTGCACCTTTACAAAGTCTCCATACCAGGTCATCAAAGGATCGACCCTTACTACCTGACGGAGCAGCACCTCGAAGTACCGAATCAGCTCCGGGAATCGGGCGGTGTAGTAGAGGGGATAGTTGAAAATCAGGCGCTGTGGCCTCAAGTTCCGCGGTGAATCTGGCACCTGTGCTTGGAAATGCTGGAGAAAAGTCCAAAATTGAACATCAAAAGAAACAGTCATCCAATGTCATGGAGGATCTTCAACATATTTGGGCTTATAGAAGACTGCAAAGTCCCTTTCAATGGCAATGTTATCATGTGAACATGAGGATCAACCATTGCATTTCAGGTTTTTTCCGTTTTCAGCCAAAGCCAATTTGGGGTCTGAAAATCCGCTGGGGTATCATAATGGTCCCTACGCATTCGCCATTGAGGGGAGTAGCCCGCTTTCAGACAACCACATCTCACACCAAGCGGCAGCTCTTTGGCATCAAACTGCTTGAGGCTTTGTCGCGCCTGAAAATCTGGTGCTTTAAGGGTGCCATAAAAAGAACCTCCATAGTTGCAGAAAAGTTGTTTCCATGTGATCACCAAGGTTGGTTCTCTAGAACACTATAGTTTCGTTGAAGCAACGATGAACATCTGGCCAGGCATCAGCTTTGAAAAGCCCACGAGCACACTGCGTTGAATTGTCCGTCCTGGTGGACGAAGGCTGAGCCAAAGTGCAGATTTGCCAAGATCGCCTACGACAGGTCACGGATGATCAAGCTGGCTAAGTAGGACACAGTTCTTATATTGATACATCATCTAGATTCTATCTCATGGTCATCATAATCCCTATCAAATCCTATTAGAATACTGTAATTGATGAATGTCCATCCCCAAGCCTAAGTTCACATTTAATAGCCTCAAGAAGTCAATCCTATCATCAGGAGCTCATGAAATCTTCATCGCCTGGGACTCCAAGTTACTCTGCGGGCAGTTGATGGCACTTGTCACCTCACACCTTCCACCGAAATGCACCCAACCTTGCGCGAATGTGGTATCTGTGTGTTCTGCAGCAGCCCGTGGGTGTGGAAGCCCCACTCAAAGGCGGGCTTTTCAGGGTGGAACGCTGAGGCAAAAATGGGATGTCTTCCTTAGCCACAGTGGAAGCAGAGAAATCTACTCCTGGATCATCGGAAACAGAAAATCCCCCTATTTGGGGCCCTATATTTTACCACATTTCTGGACATACAGTAAAATTGTTAATCATGTTTTTTTCACGTGATCTCGAAAGACAATGATTAATGTGTTATGTTGTTTTTTTCTTATCATGGACAGATCGATACATAAAACTTTTGGGATTGGACAAGATTTATGTATTCAAAAAAAGTTATTTCTTTTTCAACCTATCTGTAGAACAATTCTCCGTTTAAAAAACAAGTGTCTGTAGAGCAATTGTTCTTTAATAATATGTTTTAAAGCAATCTTATTTTTGAAGAAAAAAATGTAAAGCAGTTACTTTCTTTCAACACGTAAACACAGACATCTATCCGTATAAATATTGAGTTTGCTGCTTGCCATGTGTCTACTTCCAAGCGGCCTCGCACAAACCATTGGATGAACAATTTAGAACAAAGGATTTGGGCCCTACCTCCACTACTACTATTTTGACAAACACTTTACTGAACTAGATGAAAAAACAAAAAAACAAATGTAATCAAGAGTATCAAATAGAAAATTGGCAGGAACAAAGTAAACAAAATGAAACACAGCAACATCTTTGAGAAAACAAAATACTATGAATATACACAACATAAAATATTTTTAAAAAAACAGCTACAGTAAATTCAGTGGAAAAAAATGGGTTTGGAAAAGTGCCCCTTTCCCACGGACAGTCCCTGGCCAAGGTGCGGCTCTGCATCAAAGAAATGAAGCTCTGGTTCTGGCGATCTTTGCTGGTGGCCACGATTTCAAAGTTCTCGTGCAACTCCTCCCACGGCTGCCGCACAAGGTTGAAGATCCGATGGACCATGTAAGAGGGGTACCGAGGACAACATAGCAACAGTGTTAGAATATATGCAATGTATTGAAGAGGAATCACCAGCAACTCAATTTTGCAGGACTCCTTTTCGTTGTCGTTTAGGTGCTGCCAGTCCTTGATACTGTGAAATGTGCTCGGAGTGATACCCCATTGGTGGTGGTGGAAGGTGATGGCGTTATCTTCCAACCAATGGCGCAGCATGTGGGAGCCTACAGGTGCACAAGCATTGCTCAGCTGCTCAGCTGATCACTTTCTGGCTCCGCTTGCCCAAGTTACAAAGACCTTTGAGTCCTCTAAAAAATCACATAAAGAGTTGGATTTAATTGGCTAATGGTGGTAAAACAATCATAAACCATCCCCAAATAGTGGTATAAACCATTCCCAAAAATGGGTGGTTTATGGCATTGTTTTACCCACATTACAGAACCACACAATTCCTGACACCCAACCTGGAAAGAGGTCATCATCAAACAGCAGGCGACTCTTCGCTTCGAAGTGCAACGGTAGTGCCAAATTTTCAGCAAAAGTTCCTGAGTTCCGTTGAGAGAGGACAAGGTGCAACAGCTTTCAGATTCAAACAACAAAAGACCAATTGAAAATTGAAAATCCGTTGAGTTCAGAATTTCTCCAAAAAGTATTGAAACTTAGCTTATCCTTCCATGGATTTCTTCGACTCAATCCTTGGCTCTGTCACGATGGATACCACTGGGGACAACCTGAGCCCAGGTTAACACATTGGCTCTACCCAACACCTTGACAGTGTTAGCACAGCAAATCGTAGCCAGAATCATGGAATTGACAAGGCATATAGAAATGTTCCAGACTTTATCCACTGCGGGATGCTTGTGAATATTGATGAATATTGTTCCCAAGCCTCCTCCCTTCTTGTTGGCTGATTCACATCAGCACACTCAAGTCGACAACTTCATTAAAAATGGAGGTTCACCTCGACATCCACAGATTCAATCATGAATCATCATGTTATCCTAATAAATTTCTATCCTATTGAAGGCCATATAAAATTGGCTAAATTCCCGAGTTTCAGGCCTCCATGGAAACTGGTAAACTGCACCATCCACCATAAAAACCATACCGCCGAAACACAGGTAAGGAATTCGGCGTAAACCTTGCCGGTGGCAACCTGTACCAGGTCGTGGATACCCACCTTGGAGTTCCAGGAAATCTCAAGGGTCAAGCCACACAAAATTGGCTTCGGATTAGTTACAGAAAAGATGAGGAAAGGAACATGAAAACATGACAAACTCATACATTTGAACGTGAAAAACTCATAAATTTGACTAAATTTGATGGAAAAAAAACATGAATGATGGGTAGAGGATCTGTCCCTGGGATGGTGGTTGTGTTCCAGCTATACTGGTGAATGCTGATACAGTAGTTCAAAAGTCTGTGGGGCAGCCGGAAGGCCCCCGGAAGGTATGACAGAATAAAACCAATTGCTCCGGAGTTTGGTTGTGATGATGAAGGGGATCATTCGCCCTTATCCGCTGAAAGTGCGGAAGGCTTCTATTCTGGCCACGGATATATGTAATGGTCAGTGGAAGGCATGTCGTTGCCCCAAAATGCAGCAAAGTGGGTAAGACCATTGTATTGCATAGCATATTTATTTGGGCATGGCTCAAAAAATGGTCGACCCGCAAAATTGCATGGTTTGAATTTCATATCCCTCAAATGGCCAATAAGTTGTGGGTCCGTTACCACCCCAATGATTTGAACCGTAGCCATGTCAGGATACTCAACCTGAGTCTCTGGCACAAGTGGCCCAGAGAGGAAACACCTCACCCCTGATTGCAGCTGCAATGGCCTCGGGGGCTGATAGGGGATCTAAGGTGATACACCCAATGCCATAAACCTCCGATTTGCAGAGTTCATACAACCCATTTGTGGTCGTATTGGGGATGATTTACAATTGAAGTTACCACATTACCAGATGATCACGTGAAAAATACGGGTTATCAATATACATTATATATATATATATAACTTTGACATCCTTATATCCTGAGCCAAACTACCACTGACACATCACAATGAGATCCAATCTTGCGAGGAAAAAATGAGAACAGGCTTAGTAAGAGTGGGTCACGAGTTTTTGGACTGCTTGTACATGGTCTTGTTCTGATGGCCCTGTTCAATGGGTCTCTAGTCTCTACAAAAATTGTGAACTGTGAACAAGATACAGAAAATGATTGATAAAGACACCAATGTCGCATTGTCAAGGATAAAGTCATATTGTGAAAAGTTAACAGCATAGAAAAAAAGAACAAACGAAGCCTTTCTTGCCACCAGGCCATCTCCCAGAGCCTGAAACCAATCATCATGGATTCACCCAGCGGCGTGATCGTAGATCTTCCGGATGTGAGCTTCGGCAGTGCCTCTCATTTTGAAGAAACCTGCAGGCGCCACGTTCTTGGCAGCTTGGAACGGTATAGAATGCACGAGATGCCATAGCTGCGAACGAAAAAACTGCTATATAAGCGGTTTTCGGAGGTCATCGAATTCGAATCACCCATGGCATATCCCGTAGTGATAACTCTTTCCTAAGATGAGAGTGATAACGAGAATGTACTGTGTCTGCAGAATACATACATATACACTGTATGTATATACATATATATATATATATATATCTGTACTGTATGTATACATATATATATACATATATATATATATATAATTATATATATAATTATATATATAATTGTAATCCTCAAGCAATAACCACCACAAGGGTCTGGCCACTGTGCAACTGTGGCCTCCGATGGTCATCACGCCATTCACATGCTGCAGGATATAATCAAACTCCTCGTCCTCCAGGAAGCCAGCGGGTCCCCCTGGGATTCCACCATGACAACCCGAAAGTTAAAGAGGTTCCTACCTTACATACGTTCCAAAAAAAAAGAACGGACATCGAACATGATCCAACTCTGCTTATCTTTCAAAAGTCTTGGGCTCCCTCTTGGATTTTTCATGACTTTTCCACAGTTTCGACGCCCATATCCCCCGTCCAGTCCTCCATTGCAGGATGGAGCGGAACGACTTGTGCACCACCCTGTTCCAGCAGATGCACCTTACGGTGGAATGAAATGGAAATGGGCACGTGACCAAATGTGAATCCCAAAAATAATGGCAGCAAATGCGCCAGCCGCAATTTGGGGTCCGCCAAATATGCCCACAACCCATGGATGTTGCAATCTTCAATCCTAAGATTGCCATGAATGCTGCTCCAACTGCGTGCAGTAACTCTTTTCGATCTGCTACGCCATGCCAGGCGTTCTGCCAAGTGATGCAGAATGCTGGCCTGCAACCCCATACCAAAGAATCTCCTATCCTGCTCTCACCCTACAGGACCTCAAAGGATGGAATGAAGCCTCTAGAACTTCGCTGCAACAGTTTCTGGTACAACTGGAAAAAAGTGTCATCAAAACAAAAAATATCAAAAAATGATACTGGCGATTTCCATCCATCCAGTCCCCCCGAATCTTCAAAGTTATCCAGCGTGTTCACCCCATGGTGCTCGATGGTCGAGTCACCCGGGTCAACAGCAGCTACCAGCCTTTTTTACAATAGCAAGTACCACGACAATGATGAACTTCGCAACTTCCACAAGCAGTATACAAACAGCGCCCACAAATCACATCAACATCATCTTCTCCAGAATCAGCATCCAGACCGCAGCCGTCACAGCGAGCACCATCACTGCCACGCATTTTCTCCTTGCGGATCTTCTTGTTGGCCACTGCAAGAGCTTTCTGCAGCTGGTTGTACTCACTTAGAGGCCGCTTTACAGTTGGGGCATCCGCCAGCTGTATTTTTGACAATTCGAGCTGGACTTTTGGCAAAGTATGCTGCCTTGGAAAGACCAATTCAGCTGCAATGTGAGCCCCACCAGCCACTGTTTGACTTTCCCTCAAATCTGGCAGTTTGAGGCGAAATCATAGTATTCACTTTTTGGTGAGGCACTGAAAAGCGACCTGGGTTCCACATGAACACTTTTGAAGGTCGTTTCCCAATACTTCCAAGGCCCCCAAAAAAATTCTGCCATGGAACAGGATCAGTTCATGACTGCGAGCCATCAGAAAGATCTGACGCACTGAGTTGGGCAAGGCTTCGCAACCAATGTCTCTGTCTCCCAGGCCTGGCGGGGCAGGGGCCTCGAAAACTTCTGTGGGGCAGTGGGCATGGGAGAAATCAAAATGGCCATGAACAAATCATAGAACCACAGAGCAGAATTCTGGATGTAGTAAAATCTGGGCATGCGAAGTTCTATATCTATGTGAACCCTGGGGGATCACAGTGGCATCACACACGCATCGTTTCTCCGCAATCCTGAGCCCCATGCCTTTGTCAGTCGCACCAGCTTGTCTTCAGCTAGGGACAATATCATTTGCATGACATTGAAGTGAGATGTATGATTTCACACACCCCAAAGTCTAACACTTCAATGTCTTCTTTCTGGAACTGGTTTTGGTTTGTTCACGAATCAACTTCTCTTGAGCACGCCATTCCAAACTCTGATTTTCTTTGACCAGAATAAATTTATTGAATTTCATCAAAACGAAAAGCAAAAACTCGATGTTCACGTTGATCTTTGTCAGTGCATCGCTCAACATTTGGCGAGTATCAACCCAGCGTATGGTAGCATTGGTTGCCAGTAAATCTCTTCGAAGAAGTAGCATGTCGATAGCTATCCTCTTGTCCTTCACAATCATGCCTTCACCTTGAACATGGTCATATACAGGTTTGTTGTCAACTGCTATGATCATATGCATCTTCTCTCGCCAGTGCTTATCTTTTTCCAGACTGTACTCTTTGTTACAGAATTCAGCAATCATAGACCGTATCCAGTTGCATTCAGCCACAGCTCTCGTGGCACTCATCAATTCAGATCCAAGAGTTGACTGTGTTTTTCGATCCATCTTGTAACTTTTCCATCGCAAGGGTGAAATGCTACTCCAATCATTATTTGATATTTTCCTTTCAGCAAGAAGAATGAAGTAACCAGCCTGACTCCCCAGTGTATCAGTATTTCCCCAGCTAGCATCGGAAGTAACCACAAGGCAAGCTTCATCCAAAGGAATTGATTTGATATGTATTTTCACATGTGCATAGTCTCGAATGCGAGCAACCAACCTGTTTGCCTCAATCAAATCTTCAACTGTTGCGCGATTCACCCGTTGTTGGAGCAGTGCAGTATGTGCCCCAATATCTGGACGAGTGCTTCCCACAACCCAGTTTGCTGCACCCAGTATGCCACGATATTGTTGAAGCTCATGTGCTGTGATAGGTTGGTCTTTTTGTTTTCGACGTTCCTTACTGATTTGAATGGACTGAACCTTGTTGGCATATTCTTGTTGATCAATTGAAATAGAATAATCTTGACTTTGTTTTATTTTGCGCCCAAGGAAAGTACCCGAATTTTTCACCCAATGTTTGAAGGGATATTTAATCTTGAGTTGGGACAACACTTTTTCGTGAAAGTTCCTATTACCACCAACAAGCATGTCGTCAACATGAAGCGCAAGAATACCGCCTAAATGGTCTTGATTTTCATTGTCAAACCACAGGAAAACGCATGGGTCCAGTTCACTTTGTTTCATTCCAAGTTGCGTGAGAGTCGAAGCAATGCTACGCCACCACTTCAAAGGTGCATCCATGAGTCCATAGACGCACTTGGTCAGCTCGATCACCGCATCACTTGGTATGTCTCCTGCACCATCGCGAGGTAGTGACGCGAAGATTCTTCCGCGTTCACGTGTCAGTTTTTCTCCTTGTAAAAAGGCTCCTTCAACATCCGCGATTTGTACATGCCAGCGAAAACTTGCAATCAGTTGAAGTGCTATTGCTAATCCATCAGCTGATAAAGTGGGACTCTGTCTCATCAGAATGTCAATGTCAGGATCCAGATAGCCTTTGATGACCCACCTGCATTTGATTTCATCTTCACCTTTCCGTGTTTTGACAAATCTCGACTGCAGAATACGTTTCGGATCAGTTTCACTCCGAATTCTTTCAGCTTCAGTTCCTGTATGTATAATGATAGAACCTGTCTTCAGCAGTTTGTCAAACTCCGCTTTCTTTCCTGCCAGCACTCGTCTTTGATCGTCTGCACCTTGTATGTCCTTTTCACGTAGTTCATTTCCTCTGCGATCTTGTGCCAAAAATGTCTCGTAGTGCTCTTTGCATCTCCTCGCTGAGTTTTTTATCATGTCAGTGGTCAGTATTTCAGCATCACGTAAATCTTCATTCAGCAAAACTTCTGTCTCAAAGCATTCCAATGCGTCATCACTATCGTTTGTTGTCACTCTTGCATATGGTGTCCTTGCCGCTCGAATGTCACCCGTATCCAAAAGGTCTGTCGAGTGGCGTAGAGCTTGCGTCAGGCTGCTGTCCTCCAGAGTTGCTCTTCCACGTATCGGCCCATACGATGATGCTCCTGCAGTATCAGGTTGCGGCTCCTGCACATCACTAGGAGCTTGCTGCTCTGTTTCGTCATCATCAATGCCAGTTGATTCTTCATTGACCGCTCCTTCAACATTCACATTCATGTTGCCTGATGGTTCTTGCTCTTGTTCCTCCTCGTCCACCTCGATGGCCTCTGCTTCCGTGTTCTGCCTTCTTCTCTTTGGTTCTCTAATGGTCTCGTTGATAGTTCCAAATTCAGGTGGCTGCTCATCATCAGCCGGTCTCTTTTCTCTCGAGATGTCAGAAAATGTTTGTGCCCCACGTTTTGCATATTTTCCAGATTTCTGCAGTATTTCAGTGGGTACAAAACGAATAGCGGCTTCTTGATCAACTGTCAGACCTCTCAACTGTTCAGGCGAGCAGCGTAGCACTTTATTTCCATGAGTGATCCAGATACGTGAATTGTCGTAAAAACCAATAACTCTCGCTGGTCCAAACCAAGAGCCCCTCTTATCGGCGTCTTTGTGCTTGATCGGTCGCCAATAGAAAACATGTTGTCCCACTTCAAATGTCGTTGAGACCCGAGTCCGGTGTTCGAGGGCACGTTTTACTTTTTCAGCGTTGTCACTGTCCACCATCGCACGTCTTGCTGCCAGTCGGAGTGCATGTGATCTCACACATGCATCGCTACGGTGATACTGTTGTGTTCCTCCAATGTATGGATCAGTTTCGCTTGTTATGTCAGGCATTCTCAGATCGCATCCAAACACATGCTGCATAGGACTATAGCCATGTTTTCTACTCATCATGTTCTTTGCATTGTTGCAGTGATCAATCAGCTCGTTCAGTTCCTCCTTGTTCTTTGGTTGAGTTTCTTCAAAAGCTTTGGTAAAAATTGTCTTCCAGATCCCCCCATGCCTTTCTGCTTTGGTAAAAATTGTCTTCCAGATCCCCCCATGCCTTTCTGCGGTGCCATTTTGCCAGGGTGCATAGGCTGCAGTCTTCTCAGTTGCTGTACTGTCTCTGTCAAAACCAGCCTGTACCTCACCTTCAAATTCGTGTCCTCCATCCGTCAGCACTCGGACTGGTGCTCCTGCCCATCTTTTCCAGTGTTTTCTATAAACCTTTCGTATGTGATCAGCTCGAGCCCCATTCCACAAAGGCACACACAACTGGTAACCACTTCCTTCACAATAGATGTTCAACATTTTGAGAACTTTTTGTTGGTAAATGGGAAGATCAAAAACATCCATATTCACTTGTTGATTGAAACTCTCCGCACGTTTGGTTTTCGTCACATTGTGGGCAGACTGAAGTCTCCTAGCACTACAAACACTGCAAGAAAAATGTTTGGCACATTCGATGGCTTCCACGCTGGCATTTGCGGATTTCAACATATGAATGAATCTCTCTTTACTGGGATGACCAAGATTCACATGGCACCTACGAATGTTGGCTTCAAGATGAGACCCCTTTTCCAACTGTTCAGTCGTCAAAACTTCATGATCGCATTTTCGGCATTCCTTTTTGACAAGTCTCACAATGGCTTCAACAAACCTTTTTGGGTAAACTTGAGCACAAAGCGACCTATTCACCCACCGACCACCCAGTTTAGTCTGACCCTCAACATGTTGATGTCTATGGTTCCCATCACAAACCTTTTTCAAATCATGCCCAAACTCCGAGTTCGTGAGGATGGTGGTACTCTTTCGATACAACCAATTGTTTTGGGGGTCTTGAAGTCCATACGTACATTGATCAACCGGAATTTCACTCGATCCCTCCAAGTTGCGGACTCTCACAACACATGGTTCCTGCCAGCTACTCGCCATTTTGGGATGTTCAAACAAAAAAATCCGACCCTCTTCATGTTGCAGTTCACAAAGTTCCATGGCAAACGCAAGCAAAACGCGACCCTCAATGGTCTTTCGTTCACGATCCTTGGGATTTTCCTTATCCTTACTGATGCGAATCATAGGAGAGAAGGGACCACAAGGGGGACAAACCAGCAAAACACGAGGCTTATGTTTCTTGATCTCTTCACGGCACTGTTTTCGGTGTTCAGGATTCAAGAAATCCCAGCCAGTCCCAATGTCATAGGATTTGAGACCCTTCAAACCAAACTTTTCCGCACACGGAACCACCCTAGGCATGGAAAAAACTTCACCAACATGAGTTTGATCACACTGTTGCATGTTCACATGAAACACATCACAAATGTTCATTTCTTCATGTTTCTCAGTTTCGTTGTCAACAATAGAAATGTCTCTCATGTTTCGCTCCAGTTTCTTTCGCTGTTTCCTACTGATCACGCACTCAGTCTCTTTTTCCTGCGCGTTGCTACAGCGATCAGAAACAAGTTCATACCTGCCATCATCCTCCTGATGTGGACGTTGGCTTACTGACCCATGTTCATCATGAACTTCGCCAGTGTCTTCTTGTCCATGTGCTCGAGATGTGCTCTCATCTGAGCCTCTGCCACTCCGCGATTCACCTTCATTTCGTTGATCACATGCTCCCAACGCTGCACCATATTTTTCTGATGAGTCGGGGAAACCATGCTCCATGCATCCACCTCCATGTCGCTCTCCATGGGAGCATTTGGCCTGGTCTTCATAGTCTTTGGCACATTGCGCCCTTCTGGACGGCGGCCGCCCGTTTGGGTGGACATCATCACGGGCATGGGTACCTGCATGTGATTGCTCTCCGTCACTCGTGCTTTCTTCACTTGGTCGCGGAAATGGATGTAGACTCTGAATTTCTGCATCTCCAAGGAGGACGTCGGGGTGATGTGATCTCTCACCCAGCTGATGTAGGGCTTGTCGGTCTCGTACTGAGTGGCAATGTCCATCACCACCTTCTTCTTGGCATACTTTCCCTCCTTGAGAATTGTTATTCCTGGAATCGGAGAGCTGATCCCATCGCTCTTCAGATCTGGAAATTTGTCCAAATCCTTGACGGTCATCTGATCTTCGCCCGATTTCACCATGTTCACCACGTTCTGCAGCATGCTCTGCACATTGACATCCTCGCTGCTGCCGCTGTTCAACCCCATCATGTTCATGTATGGTGTCATGGCTAGGATCAGCACTGTCACGTCGTGGAAAATCACACCGATCACTTTCAAGTTCCTTTCTCTCGAGCTCAGAAATGTCATAGGTTTTCACTTGTTTATGACCAACCGAAAAACAATCTTTGGTGCCCGAAAATTCAAAGATAGGAATGGCGTAATGACCGCGATCAGTTTCCCTACACTTCAGCTCGACATGAAACTCACTAAAGATAACCCTATCAGTAGTCAAGTCCAAAACCATGCCAATTTGCTTCATGAACTCCTTGGACAACAAAAGAGGAGTGTTCTGACCAGTTCCAGGTAGCACAGCTGCTTTGATTAAAAACTTCCTACTACCCACACAAGCCGGAATGATAGCAACTTCTCTCGAGACCAAAGTTCCCGCATTTCCGAATCTAAATTCTGATTCACCCCTCTTACGGACAACTCTATATCCTTGTCTCTTGAGATGTTGCTCTAACATCAGCAAAGTGTAAGCTCCCACAAGCGTTCGTCTGCAAGCTGTGTCCGGTACCGCGCACCTACCTAACTCAGGGTCATCACAACCAGCTAGGCCACTCTCAGCGCTCAGTACCTCTTCTGGAGAAAATCCAAACTCATCGTTGGAGGCGGAAAAGAAATCGGTCACAAAACTTTCAGCAAAATGCCGTTGTTCTGGCACAGGGCTCAGGTCGACATGGGATGCCACTGTGAAAGGGTTGATCTCGTTCTCTTCATACTGGATCTGCTGGTTTCCAGTTGCATGGGTGTCACTGAAACCAGTCTGCTGGACATCAACACTTGTTTTCCAAGTCTGCTTTCTCGGTGGCTTTTCGCGAAACAGCTGCCACAGCTGGTCATGGCTCTCCTCTTTCTCATCGATCACAACAACCTCGGCTGAATGTGCTTCTGCAGGTGCACTTCTCTGACTGTCCTTCACCTTCAGGTTTCCTTTCTTGGCTCTCTCTGGACACTCACGCTTCCAGTGGCCCTGTTTGCGGCACACATGACAGCGCGTCCGTGCCTTCAGCACTTCTATTCTGCCCCTGACTGTTCCGGACAGTTTCCACTTTTGCCCGTCTTCTTGTTTTCCATCATGGAATCCTCTGCTCTTCTTTCTCTCTTGCAGTTTCTTCCTGATGTCAACATAGCTCTCAAAGCATTCCAAGGCTTCCTCTTCGTCCCCACTGTCTTGGTATGGATCTGTCAGGATCTCCAAGACTTCTTGCATTTCATCGAACTGTTCCACAGGTTCTTGAAAAGCAGAAGCCACTGTCGCCTGCTCTTCCAACTCGGCTTGGAACACCTCTTTGGTGTTTTTGGCGCTCCCTCTTCCTTCTGGAAAGATGGCCCGCACCGAGTCAAACACATCCTTGAACTCCAGAGATCCCTTCGTTGCAGTAAGGACCAGGCTCTCTTGAGCACTGTCAAGCCTCAGCTTTTTGATCAACATGAAGCCAGTCACCTTGTCTGGTAGCTGCACCTCCTGTTCCCGTAGTTTGCGAACTTGAGCATCGAATCTCGCAAAGAACTGTGGATAGCTCTCGCCACTTTTGATGCTCAGCTCGTAGAAGAACCCACGAAGCGCAGCCTGAAGCAGATCACGCGGTTGGGGCATGTACTTGGCATCTAAAGTCTCAAAGATGAGCTTGGCACCGCCCTCTTTGATCAGGTCCTCAACGTCCAGGGTGTCAAGAAGCTGTTCTGCTTCACCCTTGACGAATTCCATGAGTCTTGCACCATGTTTGGCACTAGCCACTGTGCTGGGTAGACCAGCTAGCATTAGCTGTGCCCTACGCTTCCATGTGCGGTATTGCCCATGGTCTGTTCCATCAAACACATCCAGCTTGGAGCGATCATCGCGATCTAACGAGGCTGCCATGACGCGTCGCCGGTCTTTTACCTGCTCCGCTACCACTGTGAACCCTGGGGGATCACAGTGGCATCACACACGCATCGTTTCTCCGCAATCCTGAGCCCCATGCCTTTGTCAGTCGCACCAGCTTGTCTTCAGCTAGGGACAATATCATTTGCATGACATTGAAGTGAGATGTATGATTTCACATCTATCTATATCTTCGTTCCACAACCTAGCTCTTCCCTGACATGTCATAGTGTGCAACAAATCTGTTGGATCTTGTCGGTTGGAATCAAACTGCTGTAAGTGCATGAAGGACCATAAAGGACTTACGTAGTCTTGCGGCACAAAAACACAAAAGGCGAGAAAAACATCACTCTTCTCATCTCGCTGATTGTCTGATAGATCTTCAATGTTGTTGATGAAAGTTGATAGGTATCTATCGGATTCCATGGGTAGATAAGACCCAAGTGCCCACCCAACTACCCTTTGAAGGCCTATCCATTTGGTTCGAGCGCGTCGTCCTTGCTTCTTGTCCCAGTCTTGCGTACCAATGTCGATGGTTGGCTTGTCACCTCAGGCTGGGATTACCCCAACTACCCCCATAGCCTTCAAGCCAGACGCTTTTCAGAGTATCTCGGCACCCAGGACTTCTTGGGTGATGACGGTGGTGATTCACCAGTTCCATCGAAGTTTGATTGGTGAAAAACTTGTTTTAAAATGTTTTAAACATAAAACATCATAAAACAAATCCCCGACCCCATCACGCCCGGTTCAGGGCACTGAGCTCCACGTGTAGCCGTGTCCTCTGAGCCGAGATTTCGGAGAGGCTCACAGAGACTGAAGACGTGGACATCTCCACCTTGGCCCTGGAAAAGCCACCTCTGCCATATCCGAAGCACAGCTCCGGCGCCGACCACTCCTCACGGCGCTGGTCACTGGGCTGGTGGCCAGGCAATTGGATTGTGGACTGGTTCAAAGATGACACCTCCAATCAGATTTCGAGAGGATGCTAAATTGATCTGAAAAGTCTCTTTACCTGGCAAATTTCCTGGATAGGTCTAGTGTAGTTTGGTAGCTATCAACCATGATCGACTAGTTTCTGAAGAATGACCAGGAATGCATCTCCGCCTATCCACTTCGCAAATCCCACTGCAGAATGTGACAACTTCAAGCTGAAGGCCAAGTCTCGTAAACCAGCTTAGGAGGTTTGACCAGGACCTTGAGCACAAATTCCTTCTGTGCGACTTTGGACACATCAACTCCACCATTGGGACCATCTAGCTTCAGTCCCTGTATCGACAGCATCGCCAGGAAAGGCAGCACCGGTCTTGGAAGCTAGCGAGCTGGAGTTTGGAGCCAAAATGCTGATGATGCTCAAAAATCCAACAAAACCGGAAGCCTTGAGGGAGATTGTGATTTCAGTAAAGAAGCCTGCAATGGTTCCTTCAAAGGTCCCCGAAGACGAATGTTTGCATGCATCTGATCCTATGTCTGATCAATCAATAATTAGCTGAAGTGAATCTTGTTGAGTCTATTCAAGACACTGTAGCCTGCAGCTACCTCCGGCACAACCCATTCTCATCTGCAGCTTCACCTGGCTCCCGTTATGACTTCTCCGACAAGCAGCATATGACACGGGAATGTAGGAGCTGCAGTTGTAGAGGATACCACAATCGCTTGCCAGGATGGCAATCACTGGCCTGGCCATGGCGGCACTCAAACACTGCGGTATGTGGCCATGGGTCCAAACCCTGGTGTTCTGGTTTTCACAGCAAAATAGCTAGTAAAAATGGATGTTCATCCCATTTCATCCCCAAAAAAACATGGTGTTGTAGGTTTTGACTCATCTCACCAAGGTTCCAATCCATGCCTGCTGTTTTCACTGGCACTCGCCAGAACAAGCGGCCGCGGTGGAGCACTTCTTGTAGAAGAGTAGAGTGACACGGGCAGCCACACCAAGCTGGCGACCAATGCGCCTGCACTTCAGGGCGGTCTTGGACTATGGCAACCCCACACTAATCATTGAAAAGTTGCAAACCTATGAATTATGGGGTTAATATCATCTATACCATCCTGGAAATATGGTAGTTTTCTACCTTTTGGGGTCCCCCTATACACTTCATCTGGATGAGACTGAATGATCCGCAATCAAGTTGCATCAGTTTCCAGCCGCGTTTTTGGGGGCGGAGGCCCTGTGTTTTGGGTTTTGGCGCCAGCCTACCCACGCAGTGTTGAAGCGCCAGGGGGTGGAGTCCAGAGCTCTGTAGCCTGGGCGGTGAAACAATTTTGCACGTAGGCAGTTTGCACGACTGAGGTATGCAAGAAACTCCATGCACTGCTGAAAAGGAATATCTTCCATGAGTATACATGTGATATAATATATATATATTGTTTTATAATGTTTTATACACATTATATACGTTATACAGTTATACACATTACATATATATATATATACACATTGTACATACATACCATTCTCTATTCCAAGCAGCTGACGCTCCCCCTAACTCTTATATGCAGGACCCTCAAGCAAAGCTTGCGATCGGCCTAGATCCTCTGACATCACACCATTTCTCATCAAACCTGAGCAGCAAGGTGTGGCCCATGGCATGGAATGCCGTGGCATGTTGTGGCAGCGCAGGTTGTAGGACTTCAAAGCCATCAATGGGTCATCAATGAGCTGGTCGGGGACGGTGGAATCATTCAAGATGGGGACTCAAATTGATTCTCTTTCGCAGATTCTTCATTCAATGAAACCCATGCCTTTCATGGACCTGGTGCCACTGTTACAATCGACTGTCCAAAGTCATTGCCCCATTGTCCCGCCTTGAGCCTCTTTGGGCCCAGTAGCAGCTTTCAGCTCAGGCTCTGTGCTCTTGTGGAAGCTGTTGCGACATTTTGGGATGAGAATGCTGGTCATCATTTATCTGTCTCATTGAAGCAAGGTCAAAAATTGCAATGGTCGCTGCTTAGTGGCAGGTTGTTCCAAAGAAACGATTTCAGTCAGTGCTTTAATCCACTGTGTCAAGCCATTAGTGAACCAAAGACACATATTCAAAAAGAACCAAAACTAGCGCTGACACATGCGTTTTCGCTCATTCACACACAAAATTCAGCAGTGCAACAAACAAAAGCTGGCAGAGCCCCAAAGATAACTCTAGCGGGCTGACAGAATATGTGCTGCTTCGCAACATTCTCCTTCACAATGTCCAACACCCCATCCCAAGCTGAGAAACAAAGATTGTCCTCTCTTCCTCTCTTTGCTTCAGATGCAGGTTCTGGCAAAGCTTCCTTCTCTACCAGCGCCTATGCCGATCGCCATCATGGTCGGCCCAGATCTGAGCTGGCTATATTCCCAATGATTTTCGGATAGATGTCCCCACAAGTGAACGGATAATTTTCAAGGCCCAGTGGACCAAAAATGGTCAGTTCTTGAATGCCTAAGTTGACCCAGGGGTATCGTTATTGATTGGGCGACCATGGATACACCACAAACAAAATGATACATTTTTCCCCAACAGCAGAATGCTTTGGGGTCTCAGCCCACATAGCCTTCGGGGTGCTCCGGGGCACTGCTCGACCCTGCCGCCTCGTTTCGCCGGTTCCGGGAACCAGGGTTCCGAGAACCGGTTCCGGGAACCAGGGTTCGGGGCAAGGTTCCGGGAACCCAGGGTTCCGGGAACCAGGGTTCGGGGCAAGGTTCCAGGAACCCAAGGTTCCGCAAACCAGACTTTCAAGCAAGGTTCTGGGAACAATGGGTTCTGGCTACCTTTTGGGTTCCGGGACGTCAAGGTTCCGGGAAGGTTCCGGGCACACTTGGCTTTCGACAAGGTTCCGGGAACCTTACCATGGTTTCGAGCAGCCAGAGCCTGGATTGTGCCAAAGTTCTGGAATCACCGGAACACCAATTTTGAGACATCCTGCAAACCCAGAGTTTGGGGAACCAGGATTCTGGCAAGGTTCCAGCAACACTGGGTTCCGACAAGGTTCCGAGAACCACCACAGATGCGGACCCACAGTTTGGATATACTTCCTGGATTATGCCACAGGTTCCGGACAGGGACAAGGTCAGAGTTCTGGCAAGGTTCCGAGGTTCCGGAAACAACCCAGGGGTCGGATATACGCCGTGGGTTGTACCAAGGTTCATGCTACGGACAGGGTCCCAGAAAACCAATTTGCAAGGAAACCAAGGTTCCAGGACCAAAAGGGCCCGGTCAACGAGCAATCGCTGACAGGGGGGGGGACAGCGTGACAATAAATCAGCGCGTCTCGGTTCCGGAAACCCAGGGTTCCAATATACGCTGTGGGTTGCGCCAAGGTTCCGGAAACGAGGGTTCCAGGAAGACAAGGTTCCAGGGACACAAGGTTCCAGGAACACAAGGGATTCCGGAAATCCCCCAGCCAATCTTGGGTGCTTTGTGGCCCCTCACTGAATTCCGAATTCATGTTCGTTTGCTCAGTGGGCGCACAGCGTCGGTCGACTGACCTGTTCTGATGTTGCTGTAAAATCTTCTGTTTGAACTGTTCCGATGTCGCATCTACCAAAGCACATGCCACATCAAGCAATTAAGTTCGATGCCTTGGAACACCTAAATATTGGCAGCAAACCTGTGTGAGGCTTCTCGAAGCCAGGTAGATGATTTTTTGAAGCTAAGTGACCAAACAGCAACACACAATGAAACTTCAGACACAGTTGTGACACAACAACCAAGTATTGACATGAAACTAATTCTGGAATCATGATGGACAATTTGGCCAAAACCAACTGTTTCACCAATCACTTGCGCAAACTGACCGATGTTGTCCAAGCACGACAAGATAATCCCAAACCAACACACACACACAATTTTGTAAACACTTAATGACACACCGTGGTCTGCAAATACTGCCATTCGTTTGTAACCAAATGTATGTAAATTCAACTATGCGCGCTTTCTTAAAGAACATGTCTCATCCTGCCTTTGGTCCAAAAGGGGAGGGGGCAAGGCGGGCAAAAAATCGCCGAAGAGACTTAGGCT